TGTGGCTGGCCCAGTGCACACCCTGAGGGGGAAGTGAGGACCCAGGACAGAAGGTGACTTGGAGCCATAACCCTGTGGGCCTTGGACTCCAGGACCTGGCATCTCTGTGTGGGAAGTGAGGGGGTCCCTGGAGTGTTTAGAGCCAAGGAGGGTCCTGGTCAGATCTCTGAGGATGGGGTACCGCGGGGGGTGCAGGAGGTGAGAACGGAAGGAGCTGGCCAGGGAAGAGTGCAATAAATAGGCCTGATGCAGAGTGGTGCAGGAATAAATAGAAACTTAAACTACAGGACTTAACCCTCCCTGTGAAGAATGATGGAAGAGACTTCCCCCACCCTTTTCTGAGAGCTCCTACTTTAGAAAACTTGTCGTTCTTTCTTCATCTCTTTGAAATATATGTTGATTCTTTTAAAAGCTATATAGGCCCTTTGCTGCTTTTCTGACCCAGGAACGTGTTTCTGAAGATCCTGGGAGCCATCTCTTTGGCATGCAAACACCCAAGGAAAATAGAACCCTGTCTCCCGGTTCCTGTGGGAGGGTCGGAGCCTAACTTCCTGGTCTCCCGGCTCCAAGTTGCAAAACCACCTCCTGTCACAGAGATAGGAGAAATTCCACTTTTCTTTGTACGAAACAAATGAACAAACACAGAGGGTCACTCCAATGGCCAGGTGGATTTAGGGTGACCTATATGTAATAAATAGTGCTGCCAAGTTCTCTTATGTGACAACAAATTATTGTTTATCCCGAGGACCTGTACGAATTGGGCTGTATCTCCTTGGCTAACAAGAAGTGAGATTCTTTTCTGTCTTTGCAAATCTCTTAGCGGATTGTCTGTGATGCACATCACATTCTGGTTTGATGCTCTTTCGATAATAAAATTGTTTTCTTTCTTGTCTACCTTAGTGGAGAGGTTGTCTCGGTCGGGAGAAAATTTTGTTTTAGAGTGTATTTCCCAACCATAATGGGAAAAAGATTTTTTTAAACCCAACGAGGTCCTATTATAGACTACAGGGAACTATATTCAATACCCTGTAATAAGCCATAATGCAAAGGAAAAAAATTAAAATCTACTTCCTCAAAAGTGGCTGTGTAGGGTGGCGCAGGGGGCTTGCAATAGACAAGGAGCGGTCAGAGGCAGCAGGGCGGGGTATCGGCCAAGAGGGGGCGCAGTGGGGCAACTCAGATCTCCGGTGTTTCTTAGATGGAATCTTGGACAAATCACTTAACTTCTCATAAAAGGTGGGCGTGGGTAGTGAAAATAGTACCCATATCAAGAGCTGTTTAGGCATAAATTAGTGGCTGTAGGGTAGGCAGTGCACAGCGCCGGGCACACAGTGAATGCAGCGTGCAGGCGGTGCGTGACAGGCAGAAGCAACATGTAGTTCAGATCGCCTGCCTGGGCTGTGCCCAGCTCTGCCTCTTATGCGCCAAGATCTAGGCACTTAACCCAGCTCCCTGCAAAATGAGATGAACAGCAGTCCCCTCCCTGCTGTTGCACGAGTCACTTAGCTCTCAAGTGCCTGGTGCTCTGCCTGGCACAGCGAGCCCGCAGGGACCTTAGCTGCCAGGAGCATCCTCGAGCAGAAGGATTAATTGATAGCCGACGGGGGCCAAGTGACCACCTGAAAAATCATGTGCCAGGCCTGCAAGGAGGAGGAAGCAGGTATTCTAGACCTTTCTTAGGGGAGCAGCCTGGAGGAAAGGTGCAGCCGGGACAGGTAAAGGGCATTTGAGCCCCAGGGCCTCTGCCTGGGGAAGTGTCTTCAGACCTTTCTTGGATAAATGACTAAGACTGCGGGCTTCATTTGGAATGAACCATCTGTGTCTGAGGGAGAAGGACAGGAGCGCGGCTTGCCCGTGCATTTTCACCCCTGCGGGCTTCTCAGGGCTGGAGACCTGAGGAAAGGGGACAGATGGCCGTGGAACTGCTGTAAGGACGTGGCCCTGCATCGTTCGCAGCCTGAGTGAGGTTCCCCAAGGCGGACGGCGACCACAGGAAGGACACAGAGCTTGGCTGAGGGCAGGACGCAGGGGTCCCCACTTCAGATGAAATGGCAGCCCCAGAGAGATGGTGGGGAGGGGGCCAGGCTTCCGGAGACCGGCAGCTCTGCCCCTCAGCTGGAACCAGGGTCACAGTGAGGGATCTTCAGGAGTCCCCAAGGCTTCTCAGACAACCTGGAGGGCACCCCAAATCGGCTGGTTGGGATCCCCAATTTGGCAGGCCTCTATCAGGTCCTGGTTAAATGTGAGAAAAGAGAAACAAACGTGCTTTTCTGTACTGGAAGCAGCAGGTGGGATTCCCGCTTATCAGCTCTTCACAAGCAGGTTCTGGAAGGTGAGGGGAGAGCAGGAGACCCGGACCCTGAGGCTCAACTGCGGAACGCGAGAATCCAGAAAGAGGGAAGGAGGGCTGGCCAATGGAAGGAGAGAGAATGATGAATTCACCGAGAAAGGTGCTGAGTGGGCGCTAAATCGCAGAGTCCAGCTCTCCAGGTGACCAGGGCCTGCGCGTGCGCAGTGCATCTGCGGTGCCACCACCCTCCCCCCGCCCCCGCCCCCTCCAGCCCCGCCCCACCCTCCGCCCACAGGGCCCTGGGCACCGAGTCAGTGTGCCTGGGACCTCTAGGGTGAGCAGACTCTAGAAGCTTCAGCTCCCGCACACGCCCGCCTGTTGCATTTCACCCGACTCCAACTCAGTACGTGCAGCGGGGGGGAAAGTGCCCAGTGTGCCCGGGACTTCCCCATTTAGAACTGGAAGTCCTGACCTGGGCAAACCGGATGGCTGGTCACCCGCAGGGCTGGTCTCCGGGCCCACACCGCTGCCAGACGGTGGCGGCGGGGCACGGTCTGCCCCCTGGACTTTTCTACCCTGCCCCTCACTGGTTTCCACTGCCTGTAGAGGACTGAGGGATATGATGGGGGGGGGCGGGGGAGTGAGGGGAGGGGAGGAATGAAGTATGAGGTGTGAGGGGAGGGGAGGGGTGAGATGTGAGGGGAGTGGGAAACAGCACATTTAAGTGGCATAGCATGGCGTCCCTGTGTCAGGAACTTGACCTGGGCTCTCCCTTCACCCCCCAAGTAGATCTGTGAGGAGGCTGGTGGTAAAGGGTGGACCCAACCCTTCTCCTTTCTGTGTGAGAAACTGACTTGGGTTCCGTTGTGTCTGTAGCTCTAGCACCTGGAAACCTCATCTGGGCAGAAGGTCAGTTGCATTACTAGGTGACAAGCACAACGGCAGCTCTGAGCTGTGTGTCTCATCTGGGCGCAGAGGGCAGAGGATGACGTATGAGTACACGAGTACGCACCTGGTGGGCTGCCAGAACTCGGAGGCCCCCTGTGGCTCTTGTGACTGGGCCTGTCCCTGGCAGGAACCTTGGAAGCGATGCCTGGGACCGTCACAAGAAATGCCGACTCGTTGTTGGCTCCCTGCACCTGCCTGTATGAGCCTCACTCGCTCGCACCTGAACTGTCTCCTGGGGGCCAAAGAGACTGGCCCCTGGTCCCCTGTGGGCCGTATGGTCTCCTTGGAGGACGACTTCCACAGGGGTGCATCAGATGCTGCCTGCTGCATCTCCTGCCAGTATCGGAGAGTCTTTGGGTCTAACTGTCTAGCTGTGCCCAAAGAAGACCTCTTGTGAGGTGCTATGTGGGAACTATCACCCACCATTCCACAGATGAAGAAATTAAGACTCTGAGTGGCAAGTACTTTGCCAGTGTCCACTGCAGGGGAGTGGCTGGTCTAGGAGTGGACCTGGATGGGTCTGACTTCAAAGCCACTGCCATTGGCATCCTGTTGTCCGAGTGGGAGAGCTGAGAAGACAGAAGCGCGGGGCAGTAGGGCATGAGGCCCACACTCCTGCAGCAGGGAGGGATGGACACTCTGTGCTGTGGGACTAGCTTCCCAGAGACCTTGCACACCTCCTGGACTTCTGCCACTAAGTTAGCAAAGCAAGGCTTCTCTGTGTTTCTCTGGCCCCAGAGAAAGCAGACGTGCTTTTCATTTTCAGTTGCTGCATGGTTCCACATTCCCATTGCTGCCTGGAGTTCTCAGATGCCTGCTTTTTTCAAGCAAAGACATCAGTTCATTTGCTTTTGGTTATCAGATGTGGGAAAGTCATGGGGGCTGCTGTGGTGGTGCTTTGGGTTTAGATTTCAAAAGAGAATGATCACTTCTCGGCTATCTTGGGTGTGTGTTTTCTTAGAGCCCCCTAATCCTTTGGTTTGGTTTGAGTATCCCTCTCCATCTGGTTGGGTGCCCCTTCTGTGCTGAGCTCCATGTCCTTCTCCATCCTTGGGTTTATCCTTCTGAGAACTTTCAGCTCCTCTGTTGGATTCCCTGCCCTCCTTGATTCCTTTGGTAGCCTGCATTTCAGTCATTTTAGTTTTCTCCAAAGGTTATTCTCACTAGAAATTATAGGATTGCTCTTGCAGCCCAACAAACACAGAGCAATGAATCTTTCCATCCTTGGGATCAACCCATCCTTGCCTTCAGCTGCTCCTTCCAACAAGATGCAGCTGTCCTTTGCTTCACATTCACTACCTTCCATTTCACTTGATCTACTTTGATTCCCAACGTCTTCCTTCCAAAAGTTTGGGAGGGATCAGTCATATGAGCAGGTGCCTTTTCCTGGAGATGCTCCCCCACCCACCTGCTCACCCTAGAATAACAACAGCAACAACATCCGAAAGTAACTTCTCTTCTCCAGGATTTGCTCCTGGGCTTGACTTCCACCAGCTGGTGTCCTGGCCTCCTCGGCAGCCCCACTCAATCCATCGTTCTCCTGGGAGGCGTGGTGCAGAGGCAGGTCTCCTGGGATCAGGAATGGCTGAGGTTGTAAGAAAGTGGACCTGGTCTCAGACCACTGCGGAAGGAGCCTCATTTCCCGCGGGTGCTCCAGGGATCACTCCACAACCCAGCATTTCTTCCTGGCCAGCCCCTTGCAAATTACCACCCAGATGTGAGACAGCCCGAGCGTGGTCTAGGCGGGGATGCTGTCCACCTCTCAATCCTTGATCTGCAATGGCCCAGGTGCAGTCAAGCTCTGGGACTTTCACCCTCAAGAGTGATGGAGCCTGTGGCTTCCGCCTTGTAAATCCGAGGTCCTGGGGTCCACCGTCCACAGTGGGCGAGGCTCCAGTCCTCTCTCTCTGGCCAACAGCTGCTGATTTCAGCTGCACACAGATCTGGAGGGTTTTGTTGACTGGGGCTTGACTTTGGGTTCAGATCACAGGGACATTTGCAAGTCACTCTGGCTGATAGACTCCAGGATTCACATGGCACAGTTCATGGAGACATATGTACACAGTCAGTGTCTAGCCGGGCACACACACCACAGCTAGGGGAGGCATGCTGTGCAGGGACAAGGATGCAGTCTGTCCCCAGACAGTGCAGTGGCTCTCCAATCAATCCATTTCTAGTAATTGCACTTAGTTTCCTGGTATTCAGGTCTCTGCCCCTCGGGCTCTTGAAGGTGCCACAGTGGGGACTTGGATGTGGCCCTGAGCTTGACAAATTCCCCATCATCCTTGCAGAGCTCCTACAGCTTGGCCCAGCCAGGACCCAGCCATAGATCCTAAATGCCTCCCGTTCAAGCTGTCGTGTCGTATCTGTGAATTCTGGTTTCAGTTTCTGGGCTTGGAATAGCTTGTTTTGCTGTTGAATTTTGGTTTGAGTGGGGTTGGGTTTGCCACAGGACTCAGTTTATTCCATAAGCTCTTTTTCTATCCTGGAAAATTAAAAGATAATTTGACATGACACAAGAACCAAGGGGGAGAATGGCTGGGGAAGCCCCTGGCTATCTGCCCTCACCTGTTCCCATCACTGTCCTGAACTCCCCAGCTGAGCCCACTGAGGGACCTTCCCCGACAATCCAGGGAGCGAGGAAATAGGGTTCAGATGGCCTGTCTCCCAACACCCACCCCCAACCCCCTATGGAAACCCCCACTCCCAGTCTGATCAGACCTGGGATCATTCCTTTATTTGCTGCACAAGCACGGCATGAGCATCAACCATGTGCCAAGCGCTGTCCTAGGACCAGGGCACAGAGGATCCAAGGAAGAGCCCTGTGTGCAGGGATTGGGCTCAGGGTATCCACAGTGTCAGGCAGGGACAGGTGTCAGAGCTCAGCCTGGGGGTCCAGGCGGCTAGTAGGCTGTGGGCATCCTCAGAATTCACAGGGCCCTCACCTGGGCTGGATTTAGCAGCGGAATTCTAGACTCTAGGGGCCCTGGCAGACCCCAGTCCATGGTGGACACTCAGAACAGGGAGAATGGGGGGAGGCCTGGGTGCCAAAGAAGGAACTCAGGATGAGACACACGCAGGGTCCAATGATCAGAGAAGGACCAGCTGCCGGGATGGCATCAAAACCAGGCCTGGGGTCCAGGGCAGGTGGTGGGGGAGAGGCAAGGAGCTTGGGCTCTTTACACAGGCTTCCTGGGCATTCTGTATGCAGGTCATGGACTTGCCCATCAGCCTCCTACTCCTGCAGACCCCTGATCCCAGAAGCCCACCCTGGTCTGGACCCTACGGTGAATTTACTGTCCCACAGGCAATAGAGAACACCCAAAACCGAAGCCAAAATAGAAAGAACCTTGGGGAAAAGCCACAACCGCCTTCTCAAGATAAAATACAACAGGGGGACAACCAGGTCCCCATTGTCCGATCCTATTCACAGAGAGCTCCCTGATCTTCCTCTCAGGGGTGGAACTCGCCAGTGACCCCCGGATGCCCCGGGGCCAGTGAGCCTGACCAGGGGCAATCTACCACAAGGCCACCTTCCATGGCACCTAAAGGAACGTTACAGTCAGAGCTGGGAGGAAATCTCCTTCTTAGAAAAATCATTTTTATCAGTGAAAATGAAAGGATACCAACCCGAGTTCCTGGCTCACTGACGTCATCAAGGCCACAGAATGAATGCTAGTGAGAAAAACAAAAAAAGGAACAAAAACTATAAAATAAGACCAAAAGAAAATGAGGGGGAAAAAAAGAAAAGAAAAAAAGATGTAAGATATGTAGTATGGAACTCAATGACAGCATTTCACAAGAACTACACCACTGGGGTTGGGTTTGGAAAGAGAAACAGGAAGTCAGTGGGCTGTAGGAGTGGATTTCACCTGAGAAACCCATCCTGTGGGATGTGTCACCCAGGGTGGGTTGTCCCTACACAGTCCCCAAACATCTGGCTAATTTAGACAGGGGAGATGTACACCATGGACCAGGGCTTTTTGGTGCAGAGGTGTGACTTTCTTGAAGGACCTGGCAGGACAGCATATATAGAGGAAGACCTCTCCAATAGTCATAGCTGATGGTCCCACCAAAGGCCAGGCATGACATGCGTACAAGGATCAAGGAAGATTCCACCCAGGTCACAGGTCATCCAGTCCGACCTGCGGACCAGCCCCTATATTGTCCCTGCCAGGGCCCACTCCCCCAAGAGATTCCACTGTTTAAAATCTTTTGTGCCATTTGATGAGTCTACTTTAAAAAGAAAAAAATTTGCAGAAAAAAATGGCTTTAAGGGAATGAAAAATTATACAGGTCTGTTTGAGAGTAGAGTTTTTTTCCCTTAGTTTATTTATTACTTGCTTTATTCAAAAAGAATTGCTGGGGATTAGGTGAAACATGTCTGAACATTATCCAGGGCTTTTGAAAAGAATTCATTATTTTTTTCCAAGTCAAGGTAATAGCTCCCATAAATTGTTATTGAAAAAATGAAAATCCAAACAGACAGCCACCAAATTTTAAACAAAATTTAGAATCATTGGCAGTTAGAGCTAGAAGGGGATTTAGAATCACCTAGCTCTTCATATTCTACATGAGGAAACTGAGGCCCGGGGTAGGGGAGGTCCTTGCCAAGACCAGCCTGTGGAGTATGGCAGGGACAGAGTTCCTGACCACTGACCATGGTGGCTGGAGTTATTTTTCTACCAGCCCAGGCCAGTAGTGCCCGCGGGGAAATCCTTGAAGTATCCTTGAGATCCCCTCAGCTCCTCAAAATAACCTTGGAAGTTGGGGAGGGGGGATGGCATGCAGCAGATGGGGACTCTAGGAATCTGCTTAAATTGAATTTCCATGGGATTTCCAGGGCGCCAACAGGAGAACTGGTCCAAATCCTCCAGCCATGACCCTCTGCTGCCCCGCTGCTGGTTGTGCAGGCTGGTAGGCCCCAGGGCTCCAGGTGCAGATGGGAAGATGCCAGGAAGGTGAATTAACCTGTGTAATAGCTGACTCTCAGGAGAGAAAGCTGGTGTACCATCTGAAGAGCTGTTCTGTCTCTTTGGGCCATTGTATTTGATTCCCTCTAGACAGAGCGGGCTGTCATCCCATTTGTAGATAGCCCTGAATCTGCTCTCTGGTGGCTTTCGTGAGTTTGGCCTCACTCTGTCCATGGAATGAGACGGCTTCCTCTCTCCAAAGGCCAGCCTCAGATACCTGAAGCCCAGAAATGCCCTTTCTCCATCTGCTTCCCCGGGGTGACGGCACATCACCCTTCAAGCTTCCTGGGGCACATTGTCCCCTACGGACCAGCCCGATGGGGTCAGAGCCCTTCACCTGTTCCCACATGTGAGCATACCTCTGCGATATAAAATGTGCAGTTGTAGGTTTTCTCTCTACTCATCTATTACTCATTCTGCAAGCATTTGATGATGCCCTATTCTGTGGCAAGAACTGTCTTGGATAAAGAGATGAATAAAAGCTAGTGGATGGACAGGAAGTGGTAAGTGCCCTGACAAAGATGCCGCATGTGTGGACTCATTTGTCCGTCTGGACCAACAACGTGTGGCGGGGGCACTGGTGTGACATCCCTGGAGACCCTGGGTATCACTTTCCAGCTGTGGGATCATCCACAAGTGTCTGAATCTTTCTCAGGCTCAACGTTCTCACTCTTAAAATGGTGATAGCCGTAGGGAGACAATGGGGCTGGGTGTCAGCCATACTTCCTGCTGGAGGGAGGAGACTTCTAAGAACGCTCACTGGTTTTTGGCATATATGTCGTTCAAGGTGAATGAGTCCAATGTCTGTGGCTGGTTTACGGCTCACAAAAGAAGGTGAGGTAGTGTCAGAGGGGTTCACCTGAAGGTCTTTGGTGGGAAAAAAAATAGACACCCTCCTCCTCCCTCACACAAAGTTGATCCCAGACTGTACTTTTCTTTTTTTTCTTTTTTTGTGGTACGCGGGCCTCTCACTGTTGTGGCCTCTCCCGTTGTGGAGCACAGGCTCCGGATGCGCAGGCTCAGCGGCCATGGCTCACGGGCCCAGCCGCTCCGCGGCATGTGGGATCTTCCCGGACCGGGGCACGAACCCGTGTCCCCTGCATCGGCAGGCGGACTCTCAACCACTGCACCACCAGGGAAGCCCCCGGACTGTGCTTTTCTTCCCTAGAAAAGTACTTGATGAGGCTATCTACTTCTTGGACTGCCAGTTTGGGGGACATGGGCAGAGAAGGGAGGGCTGGAGACAGAGCCCATTCCCTGGGTTTCATGAAACTGACAGGAGAAGAGAATATTCCAGGTGAACGACTCATGGAGAGAAGCCCAGGGGGTGGTCTGAGCTCACACCACTCACCTTTTCCTCCAGCTCTTTCAGATGTCGCTTCTGGACCTCCAGTTTATCCTCCAATTCTCGGATTCTCTGCAACACATTAAGTTCTGTATCAGAAAAAGTAACATTTCCAGGTTCAAACCTTACTCTTCGTCGTTTATCGTGGTGTGGCGTATAAGCAGTGACACATACAAATAATAAGTGGGCAGCTCGACATTTATACGTGAGCAGGCCTGTCTCTCCACGCCGTGAATCAAGACTGAGGGCTTCCCCAGCACCCAGGAGGCTCCCTCAGGCCCCCATGAGACTCTAGTCTGACCTCTGTCACTAAAAGTAGATTTTGCCTCTTCTTGAAATGCATCGTAATGGAATTATACAGCGCGTACTCTTTTCAAAACATAAACATCAAGACTAGACCAGGACACGGAGGTGCCTGGGGCAGGTTAAGAAAGATCACGGATTTGAAGCAGCACCAAATGACTTGTCCAAGATTCATTTAGCTGGAGCCTCAGAGCTGGTGCAGAGATGAGTGCCAGTGGTAGGCGTGGCTGTAGCGTCCACTCAGATTCTCAGAAGCGCACGTAGTGCTAGGTTTTAGGATGACAAACTGTCCCCATTTGCCTGGGACTTTCCTGGTTTTAGCACTGAACGTCCAGAGTCCTGAGAAACTCATCAGTCCCGGGGAGACAGGGACAGTTGGTCACCTGCCTGGCTCTGCGCCTGCCGAATGCCCCTGGGGGTGCACGCCAAGCCTCAGTGGTTTATCCATCTGTTCCTTCCAGTTCCACACAGCATCCCACCCAGGGGGTCTGGCAAGTACAGCCTTTTCCAGATTGTCATGTGTCCAGTAGCACTTCAATACCCCTCAAGGGCTGATACCCCCAGACAGCTGCTTAGCTGGCTACAGCCTTGCCAACCCTGAATGTACACGGAGACCTCACTCCTCTGGAGAACGCTGTCGGGCTGAAGGGCGGCGACTCAGGTCAGCCCGAATTAAGCGTGTGGACCATCATCAGTCCGGAGAAGCCTTCTGTCCAGATTCTCAAACTCAGATCGGCATCACCTGGAGGCCCTGCGGGTCCCAGGAGCCCTTCCCCAGGGTTTCTGACTCAGCAGTTCAGGGCGGGACCTGAGAAGCTGTATTCCTCACAGGTCCCCAGGTGATGCGGTTGCTGCTGGTCGGGGGACCTCACTCTGAGAACCACCGCTGTGGGCACATTCACCCACTCGGCCAATATGACTCAATATGCCCGGGGCCTCGAGTTTGTGGTCCCACCAGGTTCAGACAATGGTATTACGCAAATACATAGATGGTGCCCTGGATGAATACAGATGTCATGGAGAAAGTCGAGCAGAGGTAAGGAAGGAATGGGGTGCTATTTCATATGGGTGCTCAGGGAAGATCACACTTGAGCAGAGGTGAGGGGGTGTAAGGAGTTGAAGTGTGGGCTGGGGGGTCCAGAGGAAACACAAAACCCAGCCCGCTGTGGTTTTCCAGATGCCAAAAAGGGAAGGGAACTCCAGGCAGAAGGAATGTTGTGTGTGTGTGCAGGGAGCTGGGAGTGCAGAGGGGCAGAGCTCAGAGGGTCTGGAATGTCCCGATGAGGAACTTACAGATTTGGGGGTGTCATGGAGAACTCATGAAGGATTTCAAGTAAGGAAATAACGAGATTTTGATTCTGGAAAGATCACATTGGCAGCAAAACAGAAGATGGATTGGCACGGAAGAGAGATGAAAAATACTTCTGCTCTCAGATATGTGACCTTGGGCAAGTAGTTCAGCCTCTCTGGCCTTGGTTTCTTTATCTGTAACTTGGGGGTAATAGTGCTGCCCACATCTGATGATTTAGCAAGTGAATCTGTGCAAAGTACTTATAGCAAAGTCGGCAGAGAGTACCTGCTCTATAAAGGACAAGAAACCCAGTATGTTTCTAATTCTCTTCCACCTGAGGGAGACTGTGACCGCCCTCCAGAGACCCCCTTGCAAGGCGGGCAGGCAGAGAGCATCTGAGAATGAGCACAGAACTCGGCTAGACCCTTGCTTGGATCCCGGGTCCCCAATTTACCAGAGGGTGGACTTTGGAGAGTCATGTAATCAAATAATCTCTCTGTGTGGAACGCCTCTTCTGTAATAACTGCACAGTGACCCTGTAATCCTGGCGGTGAAATGGGGACCTGGGGGAAAGTGCCTTGCAAATCACAATGCCACGTGGAGGGAGGACAATGCTTTACAGCTTTCGAAGGATTTGCAAAAATCTCCCAGGAACAACTTCTGGGCTTTAAAAATCAGCCTGAGTCCATTTGTATCATTTTTTTAGATTCCAAATATAAGTGATATCATATGATATCTGTTTTTCTCGGACTGACTTAGTATGATAATCTCTAGGTTCATCCTTCTTGCTGCAAATGGCATTATTTCATTCTTTTTTATGGCTGAGTAATATTCCATTGTACATATGTACCACATCTTCTTTATCCATTCATCAGTTGATGGACATTTAGGCTGCTTCCATGTCTTGACTATTGTAAACAGTGCTTCTATGAATAGACACTGGGGTGCATGTATCTTTTCAAAGGATGGTTTTCTCTGGATATATGCCCAGGAGTGGGATTGCTGGATCATATGGTAGCTCTATTTTTAGTTTTTTTGAGGAACCTCCATACTGTTCTCCATAGTGGCTGTACAATTTACATTCCCACTAACAGTGCAGGAGGGTCCCCTTTTCTCCACACCCTCTCCAGCATTTACTGTTTGTAGACTTTTTAATGATGGCCATTCTGACCAGTGTGAGGTGATACCTCATTGTAGTTTTGATTTGCATTTCTCTAATAATTAGTGATGTTAAGCATCTTTTCATGTGCTTTTTGACCATCTGTATGTCTTCTTTGGAGAAATGTCTATTTAGATCTTCTGCCCATTTTTTGCACTTATTTACAAAAGAAACAGATTCACAGACTTTGAAAACAAACTTACGGTTACCAAAAGGGAAAGATGGGGGGGGGGATAAATTAGGAGTTTGGGATTAACATATACACACTAATATATATGTAATAGATCATCAACAAGGATCTACTGTATAGCACAGGGAACTCTACTCAATATTCTGTAATAACCTATATGGGAAAAGAATCTGAAAAAAATGGATATATGCATATGTATAATTGAATCACTTTGCTGTACACCTGAAACTAATACAACATTGTAAATCAACTATGCCCCAATATAAATTTTTTTTTAAAAAGATTAAGTGAAAAAAAAGTAAATAAATATTTTTATTTAAAAAAACTCAGCCTGAGAAGCTGATTCTCATTCTAGTCTTTCCTGAATTTTTTTAATAACTAGGGTCAGTCTCTCATCCAGGCATGGGAGGCTGGAAGGGGCAGTGCTTAAGAGCTTTGTCATCTCATGACATGGGTTCACATTCCAGTTCTGCTACTTCCTGGCTGTGTGACCTTGGGCAAGTTGCTTACCCTCTCTGAGAACTCACTCACCTCACCTGTGAAACTGCATCAATGGTTCCCACTCAGAGGGTTGGTGTGACCATCAGTGAACCAACATTTATGGAGCCCCTTCTATGTGCCATCACTGATCTGTCTCCCTGCACTGGAATATAAGCTTCATGAGAGCAAGTGCTCTATCCCCAGCACCTAGAACAGAGCCTGGTATGTAGATGTTAGAAAAATTGCAAATGAAAATGGTGTGACATGGAGCAGGAGAAGCTCGTGAGAGAGGCAGCCAGTGCATTTGTAGAGGTGAGCACAGGGCCCAGGGGCTCAGGGTGCAAGGCTAAGCAACCCAGACTTCATCTTCTGGGCACGGGGGAGCCAGGGAGGGTCTTTGGGGAGGGGTGGCGCTATGCCGTGTTAGGAAGGCTTCTGCGGTGCAGTGGATGGATTGGCAGGGAGGGGCAGTGAGGGGTGAGGGTGGTACTGCAATTGCTTGTGGTCCCAGCAGATATCTGTGGTGCAGGCCAGCTGGTGCTGGGGAGTAAAGCCTGGGGAGGGAGAGGACAAAGCAAGTTTATATGAGTGGATCGACTCCAATCTTCACGCCGGGAGAACATTTTGCAAATATGCAGAATCGTTCTGTTGGGAAAGGTACCATGGGCTGATTGATTTTTTTCCTGCACCCACTTTTCCCCTTACTTAATAGGGCTTGAAAACTGAAATGTCCGCTGGGGCCAGGCTGATGACGTCACATCACTGCATCCCATGGGCCAAATGCAGGCAAAACGGACAGGGGCCATCCAGGGCAAACTGGGACGCATTCTTCCCATCAACGCAGGCAGCTGGTGCTCCAGGCCGGGTCAGATGCAGCTCAGTGCTGCCAGAATGCCTGGCAGTGCTGTGCTGTGTTGTGTTGTGTGTGTGTTGTACTATGTTGTGTTGTGTGTGCTGTACTGTGTTGTGTTGTGTGTGTTGTGCTGTGTGTGCTGTGTTGTGTGTGCTGTGCTGTGTTCTGAAAGTTATGTGTTGTGCTGTGTTGTGTTGTGTGTGCCATATGTACTGTGTTGTGCATTGTGTGTGCTGTGCCGTGTTGTGTGTGCTGTGAGTTGTGTGTTATATTTACTGTGTTGTGCATTGTGTGTGCTGTGTGTTGTGCGTGCTGTGTTGTGCCTCTGTGCTGTGCTTGCACTCAGCATTGTTCTGGGCACTGGGACATGGCAGCTCCCCTGCCCTCAGAGCCTCGTGGGGAGACAGTCAGCAAAGACCAAGTAGTGAGAAGTGACAGGAAGAAAAGTCAATCAGGGGAGCAGCTGGTTAAGCAAGACCATGGGGCAGCCGCTCTCGGGTGACATTTGAGGAATGTGTCCCCAGCAGGGGGACAGCAGATGCAAGGCTGGATCTGGGCACAAGGGCTGGGGTGACACGGGGCCAGAGCGCACGCACCTGGGATCTTCTTCCAAGAATGAAGGGAAGACTTGGGGGGTTTTGGGCAGGGCCCATTCCTTCCTACCCTCAGGTGTACATGTCGAGGTCCCCCCCCACCAGCAGGTCTCTCCCTGGCTCCCAGCACCCCCCAACCCCCGTCACGGCCACCCTCTGCCCAGGGCCTGCCTCTGTGTTCACTATACCAGATGTGAGCTCTACAAGGCCAAGGGCATCTCACTCTCCCTCTTCCCAGTCCTGGAGCACAGCCTGGACTGCACTTGCCTGATCAGCATGTGCTGGGGACTCCAGCAGGGGTCTTGTTACTGTGAGTGACAGAACCTACAGTGGAGGCCAGGCTGGGTGGGAAAGGCCCAGGGCAGCGGGTAGGAGCTGACACCTGTCCAGGGCTTAATTCATGGTGGGTTCTCTTCCAAATGCTTCACAGAAATTGTCCATTGACCTCAACCCTTGAGATGTGTGCTGGCAGTGTCCCCATTCTGCAGATGACGTGTCCCCATTCTGCAGATGAGGACACCCACGAAAGGATCACAGAGCTGAAGTACCTTGTCTCAGGTTACGCTGGGCGGGGCCGGGGGGATTTGAATCCAGACCTGTCTGACCCAAGACCCTGTGCTACTAATGCCACATCGTAGCTCTCCATTCGAAGCTTTAAAATGCTGTTTTTTATGTTCCTGGAGGGAAAAAAAATCACTGGGATGCACGTTTGAAATTCTCAGGCTCCTAACGCCCTTCTCCCATTGGAAATGTGGCTTCTTCAAAATTATTTTTTTTTAATGCCAGATTTCTGGAGACTCTATCAAATTCAGGACAAACACTTGCCAAAAACAAGTAGTAAACCTCAGGGAATTAGTATGACGTGAACTCAGAACTGGCCCCTAGCGCAATGGCCACTGCTTCCTAAAGGTGGGTTGGCCTTAATCAAGTTGTTTTGGCCCCTGGGCCTCTGTTTCCCATCAATTAAACTGGGTCAAACACTTAGATAGCCAAGAGTTTTACAAGTCATGTGATACTCTACAAACTGGGGTTTTAACAATGTTCATTACAACTATTGTTTCGGGTTGATGGTCTCTTTTAAAAATGCTGTATGTGGTGGGAACTGCTTTTGAAAACTACAGCTGATGAACAATGTAAACATTTTCTCCAGCATAATAAGCCTGTTCCCACCTCAGGGGCTTTGTACTTGCTGTTCTCTCTTCAAATAGCTGAATGGCTCACCTCTCACATCATTTTAGCCTCAAGTCTCACCGTTTCTGATATCTACAGGCATGTTGCCTGTTTCCCCTCAGTGAGATATGAAAAGACACCCCCCAGGAAAGCAGGAACTTTGCCCACTGCTCCATCTCCAGCGGCCAGACCTGTGCCCAGCACATGATTGGTGCCCAGTGATACGCTGTTGAATGAAAGCTCGAGACAGGAGGGTGTCTCTGTCCCCAGCATCACGCTGTCACGGGGCTGGTTGTAAGGAAAGTCTCTCTACCCAGGCATCACCTGGATGAACCAAATCCAGCCCATTCCTTTAAAGGAGACACCCAGTAAAACAGATGTACTCTGAACTCTGAGCATCTTTTGCAAAGGCCCTGAGATGCTGGCTGGGGCTCCTGCTTCCTGCTGCTATTACACGTGTGATGCTGGGCTGGGAGAGGGGGAAGCAAGAATCTGTGAACGTCATGGCACCATCGGTTACATCTGTGCCACACTGGGAGAGTTTGGCCAAGCATTTCTGCCTACAGGGTGACACAGGACCCTTAAGACAAAGCCTGGAGCTAGAGCTATTCCGAGCCACCCACGAAGAACAGGAGGCCAGGAGGGCGTAGCCTTGCTGCCAGTTCCGGAGCTGAGCCCGGAGAAGGGAGGAGGTGGAACCTTTCCCCTGGATTCTGTGGCATGATGTGATGGAGGAGGGGCTCACCTGAGCGGAGTCAGGGAAGAAGGCATGAGAACTCATTTCCTTACAAAGCCAAAAATGTAACGGGAAACCTGCTATGGACTGAATTGTGACCTCTCTAAATTCTTATGTTGAAGCCCTAATAAGGTCATAGGTGGGACCCTAATCTGGTAGGATTGGTGGTCTTATAAGAAAAGGACAATCTTTCTCCCTCCCATCTTTGCCCCAATCTGCCCCCCGCATCCCCCTTGCCATGTGGGGTCACAGAGAGAAGGTGGCCGTCTGCAAACCAGGAAGAGAGCCTTCCCCAGCAACCCAATCAGCCAGGCCTTGATTTTGGTCATCTGGCCTCTGTTGTTTAAGCCATGCAGTCTGTAGTATTTTGTTATGGCAGCCCAAGTAAACTAATACAGACACTTACACCCCTCTCTAACTCACAGCCATGTATCTCTCAGACTAACTAGCATTTAACAACTTAACTTGCACAGAAATCTCCTGGGAACCTTGTAGACACAGAATCCTATTCAGTAGGTCTGGGGTGGGCCCTGAGAGTCTGCATTTCTAAGAGCTCCCAGGAGATGCTCCATGGACCACACTTTGAGTAGCCAGGGTGGACAGAACAGAACGCGGCCTCGGGTGTCAACATCCACGTTTGTAATTATATAAAGAGGGTCCTCCTTTTACTAGACACCTCCCAGGCACCAGGCGCTCACTAACTGATTTGCATGTCCTACCTCACTAAGGCCTCAGAGTGCTATATCATCTGTCATTGGTATTGGCTGACAGACACCTGTCAGTGCATATTAATGAGAGTGAGGGCATTTTCGGTGGGAGGAAGGGTATCTACCATTTACCCTCAGCAGAATTCTCAACTGATTTGAAAATGTTCCAGAGATAAAGGAAAAGCAGCTCCCAGCCCTGGGTCACGCTCTTAGTCAACGTTCCCCATGCTTAGGTACATGCTATTTACTAGGTGGGTCAAGAGAAATGAAAAGGAAGTGATTGGTCCCATACGATCTTACACAAACACTCCAAAACACTTGTATTTGAAATGATTTTCTTCTTTAAGGGAGACTAGTCCTCAATCGACCACACAGCCAGCATGGCTCGCTTTCTGCTGCTTTTTTTTTAATCACCTGAGTCCCTTTTTCTCTTCGTATGTGGGACATGGTGCTTTTCAGGGAGTCACGGCCACATGTGGCATTGCCCTTTGGGTTTAGGGTGTGCTCACTGGCCCCTCCATCACACTTTCTGGACTTAGACTGTAACCAGCACCTTCGTGAGATCTGGATCCTCAGGTGGGTAATGACTTTTTGGTTCAAATACACAAATGCTCTGCTTTGAGCTGGATTTGCTGAACATGAAATCAACCCCTTCATTCACACTCAGTTGGCAAGTCCTGCAAACGACACCCAGTGCTGGGCATTAGCTAATCCAGCATCCAGCTCTTAGCCTGGTCTGGTCCTGGTCCTGCTACACCTACTCACAGCCTACACTTGGCAATAATAACGCTGCCTACACTTACTGAGAGCACTTTCCATGTAATAGTTCACTTAAACCTTACAGCATCCCAGTGAGTAGGCATTATTACCATCTCAGGAAAGTGAGACCCAGAGAGGTTAAGTCACTTGTCCAAAGCCACACAGCCAATAAGTGGGAAAACGGTTCAAAGCCAGGCTGTCTTGTCCCAGGGTCTGTTTTTTAAACCACTGCTACTCCAGCTGACCACCCCTGCTCTGCTGCTGCCTGAAACACTGCTCCCCCAATGGCCACCTGGCTTCTTCCTATTTACCTTCAAAACCTGGCTCAGCTGAGCCCTCCATCGGGACCTTCACAGCTTGCCCTGGGAAGGGACCTCCCCATACCCCCAGCACTCTGTGTGCACCGACTGAAGAGCCCCAGTCATGCTAGATGCTCGGGATCTGTCCCGCTGGGGTGCAGCCACCTCAGGGGACTTTTCACTAGCGATGTGACCATAACAGAGATGGTTCAGTGACAGTGTCCTTGTCACACCCCCTCCATGCTTTTCCCTTCTCTCCCCTCCATCTCCATCCTCTCCCTCCTGGTGTCCCCAGCATTTCTAGCATGTGCCAGACATCATACCAGCTCAGGAGCTATGCCCATCGGAGCCAGGTCACTCGGGAGCTGGCGAGCAGATCACACTGGCACAGACGGGGCAGTGCGGGAGCCCAGGTGGAGGGTCGTGGGGGATGCCCGAAGTCCTCTCGCCCAAATCAAGTGTGGAATGAAGAGTTCGCCGTCATAACCTCCAGTTACCCTTTCCCCCTTCATCACGGTCCTTTCAGTCCTCAACCGAATGCAGTCGGCTGTGCCCCCCACACCCCTTCCAAACCCACCAGGGATCTTGGCTTCTCAGTCCTAATGGGGGCTTCTGCTGCTTCGGACACAGCTCTCTACCTGCTCCTTCTTCCAATTCTCTGTCTCTGTCTCTCTCCTTCTGTGACACCGACCCCCACTGGTTATCTAGATCCTTCCTCACAGACAGGATTCCTTATGAGCTGTGTGACCTTGAGGCACGTGAGTAAACCTTCCTGAGCCTCAGTTTTCTCACCAGGAAAATGGACATAATCATCCCACCTGCAGGAGTGCTGTGAGGTAAAGGATCTAAAACAGTGCGTGCCCAATGCATGCCAGAGCGACTGCTGCATCCTCATCTTTGTCCCCCTCACGAGTCCCGGGAAGCTGGTCCCCGTGCGCTCGGCAGCACATGACGTTCGCACAGGACCCCAAACACATTTAGGAATACAGAGGTAACAACTAATACAGCCTACAGGTCCAGTCCTCAAAGTAGCCGTCATCACAAGATCAGCCCCAAAGCAAACCGTCCAGCCCACGCCTCCTGGTTACAAGAACCTGAGTTTAAACAGAACACAAATGCTGGAGGAAGAGGGGACGCCTTGCTTTGGTTTGTGTTACCATTTAGCTGGGGCGGGGACTGTGTTGTTTAAGTGTGTGATTAGAAACAGTTGGCGGTATAGTGGGCCCGAGAGCCCCGCGTCTCCCCATCACTGAGGATTCACCTGTGGGCTATGAGGGCGTCCATGGGAAGACCTCTCTGCTTCACGGAAACTTGATTTCCTGCTAGCTCTCCATCGACTGTGCCCGTCAGAGGTGTCAGTGTGCCGACAGGGGACAGGAGGGGTGGAGGAGCGGGGATGGTGGCCAATGGTGGCCAGTGGCGCCCAGCTGGGCCCCTGCCCCTACCTGCTGGGCCTGCTGCAGCAGCTCCATGCGCTCCCGCAAGATCTGGCTGTCAAACTCCCGGCTCTGCCGCAGGATCTGCCTGCGCAGCTTCTCCACGGCGGCCTGCAGGTCCTCCCGCTGGCCCTCGCTCAGCGCCTCGCTGGCCCGCCGCCCCGGCTCCTGCTGCAGTGCATCGTACAGCGTGGCCTCCAGCTCCTGGATTTTCTGAGCGGCCCAAATCACACAGACAGTGGGAGGTCACAGGTGGGTGGACGGGAACCCCTAGGACACTGCAGCCGAGCGAGGCCCAGCTGGGGGATCTTGGGCAGGGAGGGGAGGCATGCAGGGGCCGAGCAGAGCGGCCAGCGGCCTCGGGGGTGGCCATGGGGGCAAGGGAGCCCCTTTCAGCCCTGTGCACGCGGTTTTGAGAACACTTCTTAACTCTGTTCAATCAGGACACCGTGCTCTGTACAGGAGGGGACTAGGGCAATAAGAAGAAATAGTCATAACCGCCCCTTAAGATGTGTGATTCAAAGAGAGGTTTGACTCAACTGGCCTTTATTTTTGTCTTTGGCTTCCAATTTACTGCCCCCAGCTTGGGAACAAATCTCGCCTTTTATCTCGAGTAGCGTGGAAAATGTGTCCCAAATGGCACGCACTTGGCATTCAGCTGCCTAGTTAGAAAAGCAATTTCAACCCCAAGCAAATGGGGACAGTGTCCTCATTGCTCTCTCCTCCCCCTGAAAAGCAAGACACCCCTGGTTAGCAGAGCACATGAGAGACTAGTAGCCAGGGGAGGAGATCCTTGTGAAAGCTCAGAGTTTTCATCATGAGAGGAAGTTATTTCTTTTCAGCCTCACGGCGAGACACTTAAATACATTCACCTCATGGGAATATCTAGGGACAGAAGAGAGAAGTATCTCCTTCTCTGCCATCCTAAATCCCCGCCCACGTCCCTTGCTAGGAACAGCTCTTTCTCTTCCAAAGACGCTATAGACCAATCACCCATTTTAATGGTAATTGCTATGAAGACGCAGGAGGAGGTTTGAAGCAGTGGGTCCACACGGGTGGCCCTCTGTGCCTGTGGCCACCTGCTCCTGCAGCCTCCCCGGCTTCAGCATGGCTGTGCTAACCTCCCCCGCAAGGGAATTCCAGGCCCATCAGACCGATCTTAGCCAGCAGGCATCAAATTCCCCTGTCCGGACCCTAGTCGTCGCCCCTGGGAAACTAGAAGGTGGGAATCTGTCCACTGACACAGCCAAGGGATCCACGTGGAGCCGGAGCTTGCCTGTGCCTGCTGGCCGCCCCCTCCCCCTGCAGCAGCTGGGCTCCTAGGAGACCCACATGTGGCCAGCTTCCAGCCAGGACCCCACCATCCAATTCTGGAAGCTCCACTGTGGCCTTGCACCATCTCACTCAGCTCAACGACAAAGGAACACAGGTGTGACTTTGGCACCTGCTGTCCTCCCTTCTGCCCGCGGCCACGGCACTGCCACCCTCTGGGGACTTTTCTTCCCTGACCGTTCAGATCAGCTGAGCGCTGATCACAGCTCCAATCTCGTCATGTGCCCGAAAGCCCACTTGAGGCTTTGGAATATTCTTTGGGTAAGAATGTCATTTCTACCCGGTGGCAGGATCAGCATGCCCAGGGGCCTCCTCTGTGGAACCTGGACTCAGGGTCCCCAAGGGCCTTTCTGCACATGGCACTTAGAGAGCCAAAGGCGGACACCAAGTTTTCCAAAGTGCGTTGGGAAACACCAGTCTTGCAAGATGTCCCTTGAAAGAGGGCCCCAAGAACCACTGAACTTGGACATGGCTTGCTCTGTTCCTCTTGAAGTCTCAGCCCATCCTTTAGGACCCAAGAAGTCCTCAGAGTTTTCCAAACTTACTCTCCGGCAGCCTCTCCCTCCTTTTGGGGCCATGCGTTTCTACGTTATCTCCTGAAATCATATTCCTCAGAACTTTCTGGGGAAGGCCAGGGAAGGACAGAGGTGGTGTATAGTGCAACGGCAAAGGGCGCTTGCAAAAGGACGGAGAATGGACAGAATCAAGGAAAACCCAAAAAAGTGAAAGAGGGAAGAAAAGGATGAGTATGTTTTCATTTCTAAATTGCCCTTAACAGCACGTGCCCAGAAGTAAGAACCGAATGGGAAAATGCCACTTCTTGGTGAGGCTCAAACCGTCCTGACCTTCTCCATCTGCTGCCCCCTGCCCTGGGGATTCAAGCCTCAGAGCCTGGATACAAAGGCTCGAGGGTCGCAGCGAGGTGGACCAGCCTTCACGTCCAGAATCTCCCACCTGTGCTAAGCCCAGCGTCCTACTCTCTGTCTTCATGGAGACGGGGACTTTTAGTCATTGATTCTGCATTGCTTAGGTACAAACCCACTTTGTAAAATGATGTTAGCTACAAATGACCTGAGCAAAGCCTTGCTCCAGACTCTATATACTCACTGCTTCTTCCTGCAAGAGCGATGTTGAACTCCAAGTGCGCTCTGCTGTGGGGACATCCTGGAAATGCCCCCTCAAAGCCATATGAACCTGAGCATGGTCCCACCTCATGTTCATCACCAGTAAGTCCAGAACCAGTTCTGTGACCCAGGCGCAATGCTGCACAGGACCTCACAACAAGTAATTCTTGTTCTGATCATCACCCACCCTCCACTCATGGCTTTACCTTTGTTCCTCTGTGACTGTCTCTTTTTGCTATTTACGGGAAAACTTGCTCTGGGCTTTAAGCATAAATAAATATTAATAAGAAATATTAATAAGCAGAAAGTTTCTTTTCCTTCATCTCAAATGATTACTAGAACTGAATAAGTATGCCCAAAGAAACCACCAAGCTAACTAAATGCTTTTGAAAAATCATGACTGATTTGGAAAAAGTGACAATTTATCTGTATGGTCATTCGGGTTGAAACCAGTCGAAATGTGGAGATGGCATCGGTATCGTGCCACGTGGCATTTCAAGGACCCCAAATGTGCCGTCAGCCCCAAAAGGAAGAGCAGCCTGTAATGCTGAGTCTAAAGAATCAGAACATGCAACCCACTTCCGGTCCTACCAGGTAAGCCTGGTCGAGGGCTTGCTTCCGGTAGTCTAGCTCCTCCTCCAGGTAGCCCTTCTGCCTGCTGAATAGGTCCTGAAAAAGAGCAGGTGCCCAAGGTCAAGGTCAGTGTGAGAACCCATCACCGGGCAGCTCTTCAGAGCCAACCTTCTCACATTTGATGGACAGTGACGGTCCCACCGAGTTGGGGACCTGCCAGGCGCTTGGGTGAGAAGGGATGTCAGGTCTGCCCTGCTTGCTCCTGCGTGAATCCCCAGCAGGAGCCTCGCTGGCCCAGGAGCCTTGATCAAGCCTGTCCCAACTCCTCCCAGCTTCCTTCCTCTCAGGTGTCTGACCTGGTTCCCATGCCCCGGGCTACAGGAATCCTTCTCGATTCCTCTTGTCACATCCCGGGGGACCCTGGATGCGGCTGGTTCTCAGATGTGGCTCTTCCTCCCCACACCAGTGGCATCACCCTCCTCCTGATTACTCTCCCTGCTGCACGCATCCTCCCCACTCTCTGGTCACTCAGTCCCTGAAAGCGTGATCTCTCCGAAACCCAAATCTCTTTTTTATTACTGATCGGAGGGTTTCAGGTTTAGAGCTCAGCAGTTGCAGCCACTTGATTTTATAGAGGAGGAAACAGAGGGCCAGAGAGGACCAGTGCCTTGCCCTAGATGCCACAGTTCACTGGTGACAGAGGTGGGACTAGACACCCAGGCCTGGTGATTCAGCCCAGGGCTCTTCCCGCCCAACACGCTGCTTCCAGGCCTTAGGCTCTTCCTTGGTCCTTCCCCTCTCATTTCTACTTAGAAAACTCGATTTGGTCTTTGAAGGCTCAAGAACCATCTCTCCTGGGAAGACTTCTCTGACATCCCCAGGGTGGGGAAGATGGATCCCGCTGTACACTCACTGCACCTGGTGAAGAGCTGGCATCACTGTTTATCAGGTACCGCGTGTGCCAAGCACAGCGTGAAAACGGGCCATGTGTCCAGTATCTCTCATCCCTATGGCCCAGCGAGGCGGAGATAGGAAACCCCATTAGCAATGAGGAAGCAAAGTCCAGTGTGTCTCTCCCAAACTCATGGCCAAGAAGGGGCAAGTGAAGCCTGGAGCTCCACCTTGGTGTGTCTGAGCCCCTGGTCCATGTGCCCCCCTACCACCAAAGTGCCTCCCCTAATGTTCCCACACGACGCTGCCGCTGCCAGCTCCCGCGCATACACCCCCAAGGGCTTGCAGGCTAGACAAGGCAGGGACCCCGCTATTCATTACTGAACCCCTAATCCTGACATAGTGTCCAGGAGAGCAGAGGCTCCAAAAATATGTATCAAGTGAATAACTGAGTGAATGGATGATACTTAACAGAACAGCCACGAGAGCAAAAGCAAAATTTAGCAATGCATTGCAAATCAATACGAAACACACGCCAAGCCTTCCTGGGAAGCGAATTCTCTGAGCTGCCAACCCCCCTCCCTCCTAGGGGGTTGCATTTCTTACCTTCTCTTTCTCCAAGTCTAGCATCTTCTGGGTCAGGGCCGCCTCCGTTCCCTCTATTTGCTTCAGCCACTGGAAAACAGCAGGGACAGAGTGCGCAGCTGGTGAGAACAAGAGCTCCCTGGGGGCCGTCCTCCAAGAGGAGGCTCCTGGCCCGGAGAGGGTCCCCATCATGTCCCAAGGTGGTCCTCGAAATGGAATTTCAAAGTCCATCCCGATGTTTCAGCTTCGACAGATGTTAGCACAGGGATCGTGGGTACACACACGTGCGTACGTGCATGCAGGTAGGTGTGGGGTGTGAGCCCAGGCAAGCCTGGAAGTGGGGGAGATTGTGGGTGTGCGTGGTGGATACATGGGGAAGGCTGCGAGTGTGTGCCCTGGGATCCCCGCAGCCGGGCGGGCGAGCCTCCCTGGGTTCTACCCTGCCGAGCGCTGTGCTGGCGGCTTCACGCCTGGGACCTCGTCCGGCCCCCTCATGACCACCCCATGGAGAAGGCAGCATCTCCCCATTTAGCAGGTGAAGACATGGCAGCTGAGTTAAGTCACTTGTCCAAGGTCACACAGGTGAGAAGTGGGGATTTCGAACCCAGCCTGCGGGACTGCACCCCTGCAGCCACTGGGGCGTTTCTGAGCAGCTGGGGGCACCACGGGGTGCAGGCGTGAAAGGGGGTCTGGCCGTGCAGGGTGTGAGGGCCTGAGAGCACGGGCGGGGGCACCTGCCATGGGCTGGTGATGGGGGTCCGTCTGCCTGTTCTCAGGTCTGGGAGGGGGTGAGCAGGAGGCGAGCCGCCGTTCCGCAGGTGTAGGCACGTGGGTGTCTCTTTACGAGGAGCCCACCTGAGACACAGTGGGAGGTCCACACACCTGGCTAATGCCCTGTGGGGACGTTTTAGGTTTTAGGGGTGTCAGTTTGACAACATGTATAAATGTGTATATTCAACCTCCTCGTTGCTAAAGCCATCGGACGACCTCCCTGCCATGGGCCTGCCTGCTGCCCACCTGTGGACGCGCCCCTTCCTGACGGCCCAGACCCTTCCTCCTCCTCCTCTGGCTGCGGCTGCCCGTCCTGGACTCTTGGCGCCCTTTTCAAAGGCCCCACCCTTGCCCACCCCCTCTCCTCAGCACTCCCCTGGGGGTTCCACCCTCCCCTATGCTCTCTCCCTCTCTGAAATGTCCCCCTCCAGCCCAGATCTGCCCCCCACACCCTGATGCCTCAAGCTCCCTGAGAAAGGGCTTCCCTCGAATGGGAAGAGCCCCAGCTCACCTTGACTGGGGAACTGGGAGCAGCCACGGCTCCTCCCCCTTCACTTCCCAAACGTTGGTTCTACCCCCTCCCGTTTCAAAACCCCACCCACCACACTCCACAACCACCACCCAGCACAGGCCCCCTCTCAGCCCTCAGGCTCATGTCGGACCCCAAATCCCCTTCTGCCTACCAGCCAGCGTGTTCTCTCCAAACACTTAGCATCTCTCATGGACCTTCCCTGCTCCCACTGAAAGCCTCCCCAAGGAGATCCCATCGCTCCTGACAATGGCTGGGGGACCAGCCATGCCTTCCCTCACCTCAGGGCCTTTGCACATGCTGCTCTCTCTGCCTGGAACATCACCACCTCTCCCATCCCCAGCTTCAGCCCCAGGCCTTTTTACCTACTCAGCCTCTGGACCTGAGTTAGCTGTCGCCTCCTCCAGGAAGCCTGCCCGGCTTCCTGAGTCTGTGGGGCCTGGTGCCCTCCATGGATCCCCTGTCACAGCACTCACCTGACAGATTGCTGTTTCCCTTTTCCCACGACATGGGATGTGTTCTGTTAAATTTCCTTACCCTGCACAGGGCCTGGCGTGAGGCAAGCACCTAATAGACGTTTGCTTAGGGAAGGAGGATGCAGGGGTCTGGAGGTCTGTGGGGTGTGTTCTGGCTCCATAGTGGGAACGAACAAGCCTAGATAAAGCTCCGCCCACAGAGCCTCCCCGCTAAAGTCCATGTTAGCATGGCCCCCAAGAGCGGCCCCAGAGCCAGCCGCAGAAGCAGGCACCCAATGCAGCATTGCTTTAGACGGTGCTGAGCCGGTGTGCAATGTCTTAGAAACAGGTAAGCATATTTTTGACAAGGAATGAAAAATATTTCGTTTTTTACTATCCTAATGCAAGCAGTCATAAAATGAATAAAATAAAATGGAAAAAAAATTCCAGTTTTGAATCACTACAAGCTGCTCTTAGGTTTTGTAGAACAAAATGTCCAGTTTTTTCTCATTGTTAAAAAACAAAGATTTGACAGGCATATTATGCACATAAAGAAAAATCTTGACAGGTCCTCTTCAGCCACCGGGAGAGTAAAGTGAGAACAGAAAATGCTGGCCCTGGGCCTCCTGGGCGTGTGAGGGCATGGATTTCTTATCAGAGTCCGGCCAGATGTCTATGGGGCCTCGCTCTGGGGTGAGAACCTGGGGAGTGGAGACAGGGTGCCTGCCTGCCCCCAAACCCTCAGGGAGAAGTGAGTCAGCCCACAGGGCACGGGAAGAGGACTCTCGTGGGAGGTGTGGCTGGTGCACCTCCGCCCCAACTGGCACTTTGCCCACAGGTGCAGGACCCTGATCTCAGAGCTGGGGAATGGGGAACCTCCCCCCTCTAACCCTCAACCCTCCCTTCAGAGAAGGGTCCTAAGGCCTTGACGCTGGGCCAACTATTAGAAAGCTTGCCTGTGGCCTAAGCTGCCTCTTCTCATCTGTTGTTACCAGTGAGAGCGTGGATTTTTGAAAACTTCCATCTTTCTGATTGATCTTGAACTCGAGGGAGCAGAGGCATGACTTGTGATCACTTGTAAGTCCCCCTGACGCCCCATGTTCTCTGCTCAGCATGTGTGCTGTGTGTTTGGGTTGAGGCAGCAAGGCGACGTCCCCAATCTTGGACTCCGCTAACCAGAGGCGGGTCTGGAGGGCGCTGAGATGGGTCGGCATGTGTTTCTGTGAACCTTCCAGACAGAGCAGGGCTTCCCCAGGTGGTGATGGGAGGAGGGCAAGCGCCCAGGGCAAGATGCCATTTGCAGCAAGAATGCCAAGGGACATGCGAACTAGTTTGAGTCGCACTTCGTGACTCAAAGGAGTCTTGAAAGGAGCCTTGTGCTCCTAAGTAGAAAATGGAAGTGGACCTCAGTACCGCCAGTCAGATACCAGTACTGAATCGCAATTTTTTAAATGAGGTGTAACTTGGTTGAGGGGGGTTGACTGAGGACGTCGCAGGGGCCTCTGAGCCCCACTGCGAGATTTTCTTCGCACCCATCAGCCCCGGGGTGACCAACTCGCCCCCGTTTGCCTGGAACTGTCCCCGTTTCGGCACTGAAAGTCCCATGCATCCTGGGGAAACCGGACAGTCGGACACCCTGGCTGTCCTGTAGGTGCTCCCAGGGGAGTCCCGTTGACCCACTTTTCTTCCGGGGGTGCACTCGGCACTGAGTTCTCTCCACGGGGGAGACACAGCACCTCCCGAACACTGGGCCTTCAATCACAGACATGCGGCAGAGCTAGTGTCCCTGAGGATATGAGGCAACACCAGTCTAAGTCCAGTCCCCACAGACTGTCCCAAATGGGGAACTGGGCCCCTCTCACCTGGTCCAGAGTCGGGCCTCTAAAGGCCAGCGCTGGGCACCGCCTCTCCTGCCACCACCCTTGTGGGATTTCGGGAGGAGCTGGCAGGCCAGGGCAGCAGAGCGTAGCGCCAGCCAGCCAGCTTGGCAGGGCTCTGTGGTCATTGGCAGACAGGCAGCAGCCGGCAGGGGCTGGTACAGGTGGGCACGGGGTGGGCGACAGGGTGAAAGCAGACAGCAGCCGCATGCCAGGCAGGCCCCGTGTCCTCTGTGTCCAGGGACCCGTGCTGCTAACCTTGCACAGTTGTGGAGAAGAAGAGGAGCCCTGAAAGCCTGAGCTGGGGCCAAGGCCGTGGGTCTGGAACCTGGTGTGGGGAGGAGAGTGTCGGGAAGGGCCCGGGGCGGGAGAACTCGGTAACTGGCAGAGGGCTGGGGATTCCCGACAGTCTGCCCCCCTCCAGGAGTCTCTGGGGGCAGGAGAGAGGGAGAGCCCCCTCCCCAGGACCACTGCCCCAGCCCCACCCCGAGTCCCTGGCAGTCGCTGCTCTTTGCTCACTGACCACAACCATCGCTCAAACACCTCTCAGTCCCCAGCCTTGCCCCAGGTGCTCGGCAGCGAGGCTCGGTCCCGTTTAGAAGTGCCGTGTCCTGGAGTCCTGACACTAGCTCTGCAAGGCTCGCGGCTCAGAGGGAGGAAGGCGCTGGCCTGCAGCAGCCCCTGCAGTTGGCGGGTTGCGGGGGGCTAAGAGCCAGCCCAGGAGGGGCCTCTGGGGGATAAGGAAGGAGGCCTGGGTCTGGCATCGCCACGTCCTCCGGGCGCGCTGGGCGCTGGGCGCTGGGAGGCTCGTTCTCAGTGAACGTTGGCGTGAACGAGGAATAAACTGGAAGTGTCTGCTGGGCTCTCTGCGTGACCCCCTGGAGGCTACGCTGTCGCATTTGGCTCTCCTGGTGAGAGGGATGTTTACTAATGCACACTTACCATCACCTGTATCTGAGGGGCCACCAGCCAGCCAGGTATGAGTCATCCTCATCTCCCGACCCACCTGAGGACACGGACCCAGCCAGGTGACAGTAGCAGTGATGTGGGCATCGCCACTTAACCACCTGTGTGACCTCAGCAAGGGTCTGCCATAAGTCTGTTACCAACGTCTAGTGCCCTGTACTCGGGGAAGGATGGACAGGTGCTCAGGGAAGAAAACTATATTTTAAATGCCCTTCCAAAGATTCTGGAAGGAATCCTGATTAAGATCATGAAGACTTCATCAAGATATAAGTAGCACTTTAAAGTTTAACTCATGTGCTTTCAAAGAAAAAGATCTATAGACCAGACTACATTAACAAGTTGGATATGCCTAAAACACCCTAAATTAATGGAAAAGGCAAACCAGGATATATTTTTAATAAATACGGCAGTAAGTTATTATATTTAGTATGTAAAGCACATAGATAAGTCAGTAAGAAAAACCATAGTTATGACCAAATACGTATTAAGTAAGTGAATAGATGAATGCATGATTGAATTAATGTATGAATGAATAAGTAACAAAGAAGGGCAATGGAATGTAATTACGATTCACAAGAAAGAAGAAAATGGATAATACACAAAAATCCATTATCACTAGCACTCAAATAAATGAAAATTAAAATAATGACATCATATAATTTCTGCCTATCCTATCAGCAGAGTTCTTAGTGGTGATATATGCCTTGTTGAACAAGAAACCGGCAGCGGTAACACTCAGGTAGAGGGGAATTGGTACCACTTTTCTGGAAAACGTTTGACAGCATGAAAGCTCTTAAAAACTCTCTTACCCATCAGCCCAGTGATTCCACTTCTAGACTCTATCCTGTAGAAGTGTTTTAATATGTAGATAGAAACTTATGGGTAAAGACGCTCATCGCTGCATGATGGTAAATAGAAAAAAGAGCAGAAACGCCCTCAATATCTTAACAGCGAAAGAATCAGCACCGGGCGTGTGGCTATAGGTGGAATGATGCAGGGCCGTTCATTCTCATGGTGGAAGCTTAGGAAGCAGGATTAAAAACTCAAGTATGATCCTGACCAAGTGTTTTAAAAGGGCGTGGGAAAAAACTGGAAGGAAATAGCCCAACTGTCGCAGATGGTTTCCTTGAAGGGGGTTTTGATTTCCTTTCACGGTCTCTAAGTTTTCTACCGTAAGTATGAGTGACGTTAATCAGAAAACAAAAAGGCATGCACGTGCGCATGCAGACACAGACGGACCAGAACCATGCTTCCAGAACAAAGCGAGACGCCAATGTACAGTTTCTTGTATGGTGCCGGGAAGCTCAGACACGGTGTATGGACAGAAATGCCGCTGGGCTCTACCTTTTCACACAGGGCAAGCACAGTTCCAGCCTGGATTATTGCAACCTGTTCTTCATTTCTCAAATTCTAAAACACAAAAATGGGCAAGGGCATTTTACACTGATCTCACATCACGTGCAGACAGTCAGCCCTACACAACGCTGACAGCGGCCTCCCCAGGGTCAGCCCCACTCACTGACGGGACCAGATGTGACATATCTGAGGACTGGCCCTCGGGGTGGGAATGTCTCATGTAGTGGCACTGAGCCTTTTAGAAATAGGGCCTCGCTCAAGCTGATCTTTTGAGAAGGCAGAAGTCTCACTTTCTGATTTCAGAAACCTCGACTGATTCCACTGTCTTCCTGGACATTCATTTTTAGGCTTTCTCCCCCCTTATCACTCACGGGCTATCAGGACGATCTAACTTCAGAACCCCACTTCTGATGGATGTGGACCCAGCCACCCACGCAGGAATGTGGCCATACAAAAGCCTTACATTGTACTTAGTAGATCTCTTAAATTAGGAAGAAATTAAAACGAAACGAAACAAAAGCCACACAGAGTACACCCGAATCAAAACAAGAACACGAAACCGGAAACCGATCGCTCATAGTTACCCCATTATCGCCAAGGATATCTAATTTCTTCATAAGTTCAGAAATATTCACATCCTGGAAAAGATGTCCAACGTTCATTTTGTGTGAGCTACAAAGACCATGCACACCAATCTAGGGCCTCAGCCCTCAGTCCTCGATAAGACACCTCTCCCTTTCTCGTCTCTTAGAGCCTAAGGCCGGGCAGAGAGTTACTCTTAGCAGTTCCTTCAGGGAGGGAGGGAGGACTGGTAACTGCTGCGTATTGGCTGAGTTTTACGCCAGCACAAACACCGCTTTCTAGAAAGGCTCACGGAATCCTGTGGGTCAGAAGGACCCCTCTGTGCCCGCGGGCCTAGCGGGACTCCAGGGTCACGGCAAACACTGAGCTGCTAGAACGACCACAGCTACTGTCTCTAGAATACTCAGCACACTCTGGGCACTGCACTGAGCCCTTCATGTTCACTATCTAATTTAACTGTCACACCCACTTCATGGTGTGGGTGTTGCCACTCAGCTCTCCTAGATGAAGAGACTGAGGGTCAGAGAGGTTACAGGCCAGAGCTGGGAAGTAGCCAAGCTGTTACCTTCAAGGCTGCATCCCAAGGCTCTGCTCTTTTAACATGAGTACAGGTAGAGTAACCTTTGGTGACCCACTGGAATAATGAACTCTGACTTTCAAAATATAGTGGAGGGACGGGGGTATCTTGTTAAAATCATTTCTACCCCTGGCACCGGCACACGATCCCCTTTCCAGCTGAGCCTAGCGTTTGAGCAGGCTGTGGCCGTAGTAGAGCGGGGGCACCCCCCAGGCACGCTACCTTAACTCCTTCCTGGTGACAGAACAGCTGGAGGGCGCTGCTGTTGTTCTCGGGGAAGGTGCTGATTTGGAGGTTAAATGCTGGCGACCTCCGCTCTCTCTCCTGGGGAAAAGATTTGGTTTAAAAACAGAACTTTATTGGATTATTTACCACTTGCCATTTTCCCACGTTACTCAGCAAAAACCAACGAATTCCAGTTGGCAAAGGTGTTACTAGAAAGCACGCATTCAGGCTACAATCTTGATGGAGACTGTTTCCTGTCTGCACCACAGTGGATCTCCTGTGGACACGGGGTTACTTCTTAATCTAATCAGCTGGGAAGAAGTGGTTAGCAGAGTGTCCTGAGTTAACCTGCTGATGGAAGCTCAGGAAGTCACACTATCATCATGAAATACTCGGGAAGAACAAGCGCGTGAAATTTCAACAGAAATCATCGTTATCTCATTTCATCCTCACACAACCCCATGAGGCAGCCATGACTGCCTCCGTTTTGTGGACAAAGAGAAGGAGGCTGGGGAGGCAGAGACCCCCGAGGTCCCACGTGAGTGAGTGGCAGGGCCAGGACCCTGACCCTGGCTTCACATCTTTTTCAATATAATCTGCTGACTTTGTTCACAATTTGTTTTTGAACCGCACTAACACTGCAATGATCATTCTACCTCTGCCTTAGATTAATAGTCAAATCTCAACTACTCAGGAGGGAGAGCAAGCATTTTCCCAGAAGCAGTACATTAATCATGTGTAAAGTGACAAGTTTTTAAAAAGGACAGGAGAAGCCCAATTACTTACAGAAATAAAATACAGCAGCAGAATAGTACTCTGGTCTCAAATGTGTTTTCTACACAGAGCTGCCTTTAAACCCTGAGCAATGGACAGGTCAGCCAGCAGAGAAGATCTTTTCCAAATGATACCTTGAAATCAAACTGCTTTTATTTTCTCAAAATTATGGTAAGTAAGCTTGCCTTGGACCATGCCTGCAGAACCTAGCTACAGAACCAATGGGCTTCTTTACCCATTCAACTAAGAAATGTAGCCAAGATGAGCACCAGATGGCAGGTCTTAAGCAGATGCTCTAAAGGAGAGAGGAAGGGTGGGGCCATTAATTCAATTAATTTCCACCAAGCCCCAATCTGCCTAACCTGGTTTGAATCGGTTTAGATAGAAAACCTTATTAGACAAGAACACCACAATTCACAATGGTTCCGTGCTACAGATGCCTTTCCTACCTGTAATGCTTACTTAAATGGGGTCTCCACAGAAAAGGTGACAAAAGAAAGCTCATGTTTTATATGAACAAAAGGCAAAAGACTGGTTTCCAATGGCTCCAAAGGCTGGTGGAGACACTCAAAGAAAGTTCTAGTAAAGCGACCGATGCTTATGGAATTCTCATGAGAAAGACACAAAGAGACATGAAAGGTTTTCTAACAGTGGCAGTAGTATTAACCATGACCTTTCCTAACTTCTACTTCTGCTGCATGAATGAAGGAAGGACTCAGTTCAGGTTCAGGCAAGAGCTGAGCTGCACGGCAACACTTGGTTCTGAGATATTCAGGCCACGGTCCATGTCAGCACAACAAAGAACAAGATGGGAAGTTCCAGTGCAAGCAGAATTTTAACTGAGGCCGGGAGGAGAAACCAAAATCAGAGAAACACCAACATTGCCAAGGAGCTAGCTTTTACTGAGGGTTCTGGACATGCAAAGGCTTCAGCGGAGGGACAGCAGAGCCGTGTCACCACAGATGCTTAGAGAAAACCAGTCACAAACTCAGGTGATGTCTCACAGGTTGATGATTTTTAAATGGAAACAAACAAAAAAGGAGTATGAAGTGGTAGCAAGGCAATACAGTAACACACCCGAGGCAAAGTTCCAGTAGGAAGCAATAGTCCCATCAATACCCCTCACACTGGGTCCAACTCCGTGTATGTGGGAAGTCACTGAAGATTTGGGACAAGATTTCTACCTGTGAACAACATCCAATCTCCCTTCACGCTAAAGAGTCATTCTGAGTTGCCGTTTGAGTTACAAACAACAATTGTGTTAGTCCAATACTGCTTGCCATGTCTGTATTCACTGCATCAAGGAGTTGGAACGTTACAAGCTTTCTCAACCGCCTATGCAAATACTTTCTTTTACCCTGTTTACTTACCTTGTGTTTACCTTGGCAAATAGAAAATGGGCCAAACTAGCAGTAAACACATTATAGAGTCAGCTGCGGGCCAGGTCAGACCCCGCTCTCTCAAAAGGTGAGATTCATGCATGCAAGGTCACTTAAAAAGGTGTGTTATTAATTGCAACAGTGCTTCTGTCCGGGTTTGCAGAATGCATACCAGGTGACTATGCATGCAAGAAGGAAGTAGTTATGGAAATGAAACACAAATAAAAAAGGCAAAATATTGCAAAAACAAATTATTTTATTAAGTGCAAAAACAAGCCGTAGGCAATAAATATATTAGCTCTGGTACATGTCCAAAGACTTCGGTGAGCATTCTCTCCAGAACATATTAAGGCAGTGAAATTATTCTGAACATACAGATTTAAAAAAAAAAGAAAAGAAAGCAAGTGTCACACGTCCCCTTACACATGCTTGAAAACATCTGGGACTTTACATGAATTTCAGTTTGGGCTCAAAGAGAATGTCTGCTCCGTTTGAGAGTTTACAACAGATAGAGTCTCTTACTTCGAGCTCTAGCACTCTGAATTCTAACAGCTCATTCTGATCCTTCGCGTCTTGCATTTCGTTCTTCAGCTGGTTCTCTTCCATTTCCAGCCTGTAAATCTGGAGCAGAAATACCTGTGGGTTAACGGGTGGGAGAACCACTGTCTCTCACCAGGGGTCATGAGAATGTGTCCCTCGATCACAGACCCCCTCGGTGTTGGCCTGAGGACACAGGGGCTGTCACCAGGGGGCGGGTGGGAAGGGGAGGCTTTCAGCGGGTGGGTGAAGAAGGCCTTTTCTGCTCCGGGAGCTGGGGATGGCATAGACGGAGGCTGCGCCTGCTGCGCCCCTGCGGCCCCAAGCCTGGCCCAGCACGGGGGCCAGATGTTTGCTGAATACACGAATGGTGGGGAAACTGAGGCATGAAGCGATTAAGTCCCGTCCCCAAGGTCAGTCGTGGGGGAAGCAACAGTGATCCCCGAGCTTGTCTGAGTTCCTTCCGACCCGGCCCCCCAGTCAGCCCACCCAGAGTCCGGCAGGAAGGCACCCTGTACTCCCCAGAGTGCTCCTATGGGGAGCCCAAACGGTAGCAGATCTCCCCAAAGCACAGTCTGGGAGGGGGATGGCCTGGGTCCCAACCCCCCTGGGAGACCCTGGGCCAGCTACGTAGCTGTCGGTACCTTAGAGGCAAACAGCAGCCCCCCCCACTAGGCTGCCTGCGGTGAGACTAAGACAATGCATGGAAACGAGGGCCCCGGTGGGTCACGGTCACCTTTACTCCCTCCTGTCTCTACTGGGGTGGTACCGCCCCACCCCCGGGAGACATTTGGAAACACTGTGAGAGCCTTCCGTGTCTCCCAATATAGCGAGCAGGACCAAGGATACAAAATCTCTCCCTACGCACGGGGCTGCCTCGCAGGACAATGACCAGTCCTGTCCCGATGCCCCGGATGCTGTGGAGAGACATGGGACAATGGATGGCCACACGGCGGGCCAGTGCAGAGCTGGGACAGGGCTGCGGCCCCCCACCCAAGGGGGCAAGGCTGGGCTCATACGGTTGGGGCATTCTAGGATGCTTAGAAGCTACGGCCTAACCCAGGTCCAATTCCACTAGTACGGGAGGTGCAGAACAAGCGAATCTATCGGGACAGAAAGTAGGTTGCCAGGGACTGCAGGTGAGAGATGGGGAGAGACTACAAATGAGCACGAGGGATCTTTACGGGAGGCTGAAAAAGTTCTAAAAATTGCATGGTGGCGGGACTTCCCTGGCGGTCCAGTGGTTAAGACTCCACACTTCCACTACAGGGGGCACGGGTTTGATCCCTGGTTGGGGAACTAAGATCCTGCATGCCGTGCAGCACAGCCAAAAAATTTTTTAAAAGATAAAAATGGCATTGTGGGGATGGTTGCATGACTCAGTAAATTTACTTAAAAAAAAAAAAGCACTAATTGTTCACAAATAAGAAAAAAATAAAGCTAAAGTCTTGTCCCGAAGCTATAGATCTACTCGCCAAGCTGACTCCTTGAGAGAGCTCTGGCAAGTTCCTTGACCAGAAAGTTCCATGACCAGAGAGGGAAGGCCAGGCTCAGCTCTGCCAGCGCCACGGCCTCCGGTCCATGAATTGGACTATGACCGCCGAGGGCCTGCTTGCCAACCAGTGCCTCAGGCCCATGCACGGGGAGCAGGCGGGGGAGGAGGTCTGGAACCCAGGGCAATGGCAGAGGTGGCCTGGAAGCCCAGCATCAGAAGAATGGGCAGCCCCAGTCATGCCTGCAGCGTGCTCTAACCCAGTTCTGTGGACCCCGCCCCAGAGGACAGAACCAGGACCCGAGGCCGGGGGCCCCCGGGAGGGGCGCGGGTCCGACCCCTGCGGCCAGAGCAGGCCTCTGAAGCCCATGGGGCTCCGTGACCCCCTGCGGAGGCGTCAGGGTGTCTGCGCGCATACCACGACCCCCTGCGGAGGCGTCAGGGTGACCCCCTGCGGAGGCGTCAGGGTGTCTGCGGCACATACCTTTTCCAGCAGGTCTTGGTTTGTCCTGATGAGCAGCTGCTTCTCTTCCACCCATTTGGAATCCTAAGGAAAAGTACTAAATATGTTCACACTCATTGAAGCAAACAGACAGCTAAATAACAAATAAAGGGGCAGTGGGAAAGGTCACTTCGTATGAAACTTTCTATGAAAACGTCAGAGAAAAGGACAGCAGTTAGAACGATCGCATCATCCCTCAAAACCTGAAAAAGAGAACCAGCGGGTCTGTGGCGCATCCCTCCTCCACCTCTCACGTTCCTTAAAGCACAGGGAGCGCATCTGTATCACTGACAGAAAAGCACCTGTACGGCGACTGAGCTGGCCCCAACAGACCCTCCCCTGGCTTGTTCTCTGCTGCCCGCAGCCCAGCGCCCAGGCCGCACCTCAAGGGTCTGCCCACACTCAACACACCTGGAGTCATTACAGTAACACATTTCTGCTCATCCTAGACCCTCTGCCCGTGACGCCCTCACCAAGTCTCTTTGCCTGGACAAGTCTTGTCCAGGAACGTTCCAGGAGCACGAGGCGCTAAGTCTGCCTTTACACCAGCATCCTGAGTGCCTAGCATGGTGCTTGGCACACAGCTGGTGCTCAATAAATGCCAGGGGATGGATGAAGGAGTACACGAGGGAACTTTCTTCCTCCCTTCCTTCTACCCAACATTATCACCCTGCGCCATCCCTGGGTTGACACACGTGTAGGTCCCACGAGGCTGAGTCCCTGTGAGGACAGAGCCAGTTCCATTCATCTTTTTTCCTGTGGGAGGTTGTTGGCAACGTCCCTTCCATCTCTGTGCCCCTTTGCAACGTGACTCTGCAGCTCCTTCCATGGAGATGCATCTCTTCCTGCAACCTCGAGGCTGGGCGTGCCTGCAGCGTGCTTTGGTGACTGGGATATTAGTGAATGTGACACAGGCAGAGGCGTGGCATGTACTTGTGCTTTGGGGCCTGCCTTTTCTTCCTGCCCCCAGACCACCAGGTAAAGGAGCCAGGGTAGCTTCCTTAAGGATGAGAGACCGTAAGAATCTGGCCAACAGCTGGCACCAATGCAAAGACAGGACAGAGAGACCACTGGGGCCATCTATCCCCAATCGATCTACCAACAATGAAGCCTCTAGAATGACCCCAGGTGAGACCAGCAGCAGAACCACCAGCTGAGCCCAACCCAAACTGCTGACCCATAAAACTGTAGCCAAATAAAATTTTTGTTATTGTAAACAACTAAGTTTGGGGGTGATTTGTTAGGCGGCGATAGCTAACTGATACATTATCCCACACACCAAGCCCAGAGCCTGGCGCAGGGCAAGGGCTCTGGTAAGTGCTCACCAAATGAATGGCCATGTGCTCTGTCCCAAACTGGCCTCTTCATTTAGTAGGAACTGAGGGCAGAGCGGGCCCACAAACAGGGCCTAGCACCCTCAGGTAGGAGGTTAACTTATTCGTAGACTGTGGTCGGGTAAGTAACAATCTGTGAGCTCAGCCTGGAAGAGGGAAGCTGAGGTCAACAGCCGGTTAGGACAGGAGTCTGAAAACAGCTTGATCTCTCACCTGGACTCTGCCCAGCTGCTGCTGAGTCTCCCCTTCCCCTATGTGTTAAGTACTATTATTAGCCCCATTTTAAAGATGAGGAACCTGAGGCACAAGAGACCACGTAATTTGCCCAAGGCTGTGCAACAGGTCAGTGGTGGGGCTGGAATGTGGTGGGTTTGCTGCGGCGTGTGCCCTGCACTGCACTCCTGCCTCCGCAGAGGATTCTGGACCATGGTTACGTGACCAGCTCCCAAGGGCTGGCTGCTACTCTGTGCCCAGTCAGTCCTGCATAAATGCTGCCACAGTGAACTGCTCTGTGCAGGCTTGAGTTCCGGTTACTAGCCAGCTGCCTCCATTTGAATGTCAGTCACAACCTGAGCCCTCATCCCACTGACTGGACACCAGACTTAGTTCTAAGCCATTTGCTCCGTAGCTCTTCCTGAGCCCCCGTTAACCCTCCTGGAGCCTCTTACAACCCCTTCCCTTACACCCACCTCCCCACTCCCTGTGTCCCACCGTAGGGCCTCTAGTAGCCCATGCCAGACCTCCTCATGTTACCTCCTGCCCTGGGGTTGGGGCAGTGGTGCCACCACACACTCCACCTGCCCACACACTCCCTGGCACCCTCACAAGAGGCAGGAAGTGTGCCTGTTTAGGCTGAGGCACTTAACAGCCTCTCCTGGCCCCTGTCGAGGAGGATGTGCTAGGGATAGGCCAGTACAAGATGGCGCTGCCTCCAGTGCTGGATCCCTGAGTGACCACATGGAGCGGAGACCCTCTGCCTACAGGAGGACATGCAGCGTGTCCTTACCACAAGGACAGAAACCTTGTGGTAAGCCACTGAGAAGTCCCGGTTATCTCCTTCCACAGAGAGTTCTGACGTGGAGAGCATGGCCCACCCGTACTGACCCCTGGGTTCATGTTGCTTTTAGATGCTAACCTCTGAGAGGCTGGACCTCCACCCAGAGCCCCTCAGGGTCCCCCCACCCCAGGGGATGGGTCTGGGCCCGGGTTTTGCCTCTCGACTGTGTCCTGCTGTCAACATATGCAATGAATTCAAATTCAGAGAACTCATGCCTAACCAAATTCAGAGAAAGCGCAAACGGAGGTGACTTTAATCTGAGAAGCTCGGGGCCCAGGTCTTTATGTGGCAGTCACCGCGTGGAATCCCGAGGCCGCCCCTGCCTGCCATCACTCAGAGCTAGCTGCAGGTACCAGTTCTTTTCCACAACTGAATCCTCATAGGCAATGCCAGCTCTTCTTCCAGATTCAAGTCAGAAAAGATTTTGGTGGCCACTTTACTTTTGGAATTGTCCCCTATTCTTGTGCATTTGACAAAGAAAGAAAAAGCCAAGTCAGGATCTCATAACGTGTCTGATCTTTAAAAGCTCGGTAAAGAGGCACGTGAGCTGGGATATTCTCGCCTGGTCTCGGCTAGTGTTTTTTTCTCTTGTCTCCGCAGTGAACGACGCAGATCCACAGAATAGTCCCCTTGGCACCAAGGCCCCAGGGCCACGACCGAGGGAACAGAAATGTAAACAGCCACAGAACACATGACCGTTTCTGCTCACCTGTCCCTTCTCAACCAGTAACTTCTCCAGATCTTCGATTTTGGCCTGACACCTCAGCAGATCAGCTTGGAGCTGTTCCCGAGTCTGAAATGAAAAAGACCAGGAAGTGAGCATGTCACCCTGGATGGTGACAGGAGAGTGGAAAGGACCAGGCTGCAGGATCCAGTCCTAAGAAACGGGTCCTTTTTTAGGAGCACACGTGCAAACTGGCCTGCTTGGTTCCTCTGTCACCTACAGGTGTGACGTGTGTAAGAACTGCAAGGTCTTGAGAGGCTGTCAGTGCTACCGCCTCAGTTTAGAAATAAGTCTGCAGACTGGAGAAGGGGCCAGATTCTTCACTCACGTCAGGTCCCAGCCCAGCTGACCAAGTGCAGTGGCTGCATCACGAATGCCAGCAACACTTTCATGATTGCTTAGCCCGTCTCGTGGGCCTTTGCCACCTAGAACAAGGGCTGAATTCCAAAATACCCCAAGGACCAGGCAGCTACTATAAAGAACGAAGCCAACTGGGTGTGGGGTAATAGGGAGGGGTGGGGACTGTGGCAAACCAGAGGCACACGTCCCATCTCAGGGGGAGTGCCACCCAGTGGTTGCGGCCAAATGGGACTTTGTGGAACGGGAAGCCCCGTTCTGCCAGGTGTTCTGAGTCCTCGAGAGAAGCCAGGAATTGGGATTTCTATGTGAAATCTCCTGACTTTTAAATGCTGCAAGTAGATGAAATTTTTAATGAAAACCACGATTCAGCCCAAACCACTTCCAGCAGTATACCTCCTCCAATCTATCGGTTACAGGTGGAACGCTACTGTAGCACTAGAAGCTTCCTTCCCCCAGCCTCACTCGCCACCTCCCATCTCACGGGGCTGTTGTGGGAATGAAACGGGGACGCGCTGGGGTGAAATGTTGGCCCCAGCGGGTGTGCTCCCTGGGAGTCCCCCTCGCCTTCAGAAGGAAGGGCCAGCAGACCCTGGTCTGTGTGACTCCTGAAGGTGGGGTGATGGCCAGTGAGTGGATATTACTACAAGGCAGAGCTCAGCCCAGCACGAGGGCTGGCGTGGCCCAGACCTGCATGTCCAGCAGAGCGCCGTGTGGGCTGGGACACCCCGACCGTCTCTGCCTGGGCTCCTTACGGACAGGCTTGAGGGCTCCTCAGCCAGGAGAGAGGGGAGTCTGTTTAACAGTGAGCCTGATTTCATCACTGAGTCTTAAATTCTGAAACCGTTCTTGTCAATGTACGGCGCACACGACACGTGTGCAACGGCAGCGTTTCTTCTGCGAGTTCCACTGTCACACTGAGGATGGGCAGATAGTCCCCGTCCGGTTTGCTAAACACTGGAATGTTGCCACGGCGGAAGCTGTTAGGCGTCCCCATCCTCGCTCAGCACCCCTATGGAATCCCGATGCCGGAAAGGGCACGAGCAACCCGGCCTCTGCCCAGACGCTTGCCGCCCCGCCCGCCGCACCTACCCGGGCCTCTCGCTCGGCGTCCAGCGTCCCCCCCACCTGCTCCTGAAGGAGGGCGTAGGCTCGCTGCAGGGCCTGGTACTCCCTGGTCAGCTGGCAGAACCTCAGGTCAGCCTCTTCTCGGGTTGTAGTCTTAACGTCATGGAAAAGAAAAGCACAAGGAAGTGCGTGACTTGACGTGAACTGCGATGCCAGGGTCAAGTCAGGCAAAGCGCATGTCCAGATCTCACGACTGCTGCCAACAGTTACATAATGACCCGGTCACTGCCAGGACCTAACTGGAACTCTGGAGTGAAGGGCTCGGGGACAAGATGCCTTCTCTGCCATCAGCGCCCTTCCCAGGAGCTCCCTGAACCCCGGGAATCACTCAGTCACGTGCAGGCGAGCAAGGGTGAGCCCGCCCTGACTGCACGACTGCACGGTGAGCATCTACGTTGTAAAGGGCGCCCCTCCCACCCAGCACGAGGAGCCCTCCTCATTCTGGGAGTGTCTCCTAAGGAAACAACCACTCAAAGAGCATCGCCGCAGTTGTGAGAAACTGGAATCCGTGTAACACCTCTCATCGAGGCCTGTTAGGTTAGAGGCACGTGCAGATCCATGAGGATCTGCTCGTGACAGAGGGTGATGTGCAACACAGTGTTTGGTGTCGAAAGATGCCTGTTACACATTCTTGGTGAAAAGAGCAAATCAAAAAGCATGTGTCTGACGTGATCATGTTTCATGGGGTTTCCTGAGTGAACCCCACCAGGTGGGGGAGGTGGGGGAGAGTGAAGCTGCTCTTCCCTCCCTTGTGGCTCCAGCTCACCAGAGCCACGGTCACGGACGCGGGCGTGCACAGATGGAGAGTCAGGAAAGCGTGAGGGCGCTGAGCCACGATGAGAGGCTCCAGGTGGCTTTCACTCTGCTCTCTACCCTTCTCAGTGCTGCTTGGATCCTCTCCTACAATGATATGCCATCTTCATATACATGGGTGGTGTGTGCGTCTGTGTGCGTGTGCACGCATGTGCGTGTGTGAGCACAGGGGGATGAGGAACAGACCGCCACTCAGCAGTTTCAATGACAAAGGCTAAGCAACAATGCAGTGGCCACGGATCTCCTGTGTGAAAGCCGTGCTGGGGAAGGAAGGGGCCCCCACGTGCTGCCAGCGCCCCCATCACCATTCTCGGAACCTGTGAAAGTGGGGACCACCTTTCCTGGACGCTGGACTGTGATCACACAGGTCCTGCAGGGTTCGTGCCTCACAGTGAGGGAGCAATGCCTGCAGCGGCCAGAGGCGGGAGGCGCCGTACAAGCTTCCCCAGGGTGAGGTCCGCTTACGTCGTCCAAGTCCTCCTCGGGCGTGGCCGGAGCCCTGTCCGTCCTGTCTGTGTTGCAGGACGTCTCTGACAATGTTTCCGAGTCCACAGACTCCTCGTCAAATCCAAAAAATGTCTCCACAACATGCTTCTGTAAAAGGCAATTTGCATGACATGAGGAGTGGACTCAGAATCACCTGGATCCTCCATCCCGTCTTCCCCGGGGCAGAGGGGGCTACGATGGGCATCTGGGCCAACTGGGCATCCCAGGAGGTTGGTCGTAGGGTCTGTCTGGGATTGGCTGGGGAAGAAGGGGCGCCAAAGGTGGTCAGAGGGTGGAGGGTTGCCACAGAGCGTGCTGGCCCAACCCTGGCTCCAGGCGCATGAGCTGATGACCTTTTGCAAGTCAGCCCCTTGGCCCTTCTGAGCGCCAGCTACTTTCTCCATCGGACAGACATGGGACCCCCCCACCTCACCTGTGGGCACAAAGTGAGGTCACCAAGCACCACGCCCAGGGCAATAAGAGTGAGCAGCATCCTTGCTGTACTGAGGAGGGGAGGGGAGGAGAGCCACGTGAGACGTGGTGTTCTAGACCAGGCACAGGGGAAGGTGGTGAGGCAGACTGTCCACGGGTGGACCCTGGGACTCCAGCTGGACAAGTGTGGGCCCCAGGTCCTCACCAGACGTTCCCCGTGAGGCAATTTTAGTTTAACCGTCTGTCATGGAAAACTTGGAACACTTACAAAATGAGAAGGAAGAGCGTAACAGACCCACATACAGCCAATATTCAGATTCAGAGGCAATTTTAAATGCTCTGTGTGCTGGCCTCCCGGTTACCCTGCCCAGCACTTCTCCCACCCCAAATATCACAGGAGATGGGGCTTCATTCACTCATTCATTCATTCATTCATTCATTCAGCAAACACCTGACTGAGCACCTTCTATGGGTCAGACACTAGGTTGGGCCTGGGGGCTACAACTAGACCAAAACCAGGCCTGGTCGCTACCACAAAGACCTTCTGTCCCCTGGGGCTGCAGATGTCAACTCACAATCACCAGATCAACATCCCTTGTCCAGAAACACTGGCGCTTTTCTTCCCCAAAATAGCCTCAAAGAAGGATTTTCATTTGTTTTTACAATCAATGAATACTCTTGACCATGAAGAAAGAACTATAACTAAATCCAGAGCCAAGCCCAGGCTCCTACCCATTCATCTGAACCGGCTCCTCCCAGATCTCCCTCCTCGCCCGCCCCCCCCTCCCACCGGCCACACACAGAGGGAGGGGTCAGGGCGCTCCCCACATGCGCAGGGCGCCTCCCACTCTGTTGGGGCTAATGCTTGTGTACAATCTCATGTGCCCAGATGTAAGAAAAATGTGGTTGGTACCACAATCAATAATGTGATTAGGAAATAATTCAGAATCGGGAAGGGAGAAGAAGGGGCTCCTTTGTCATCTCGTGCGGTTAGTGTCTCTCAAGAGGCTGTGCTGGAGGCACCTGACCACCGCTGTCACCCACAATGGCTTTGCATTTGGCGTTTGTGTTTCTGCAAACTGCTTTCACCCTGCGCTCCTTTTTGTTTATTTAATACAGGAGGGGCAGGTACTGCCCCGTGAACTCCCAAATAATCTCCTCAACAGCTCCATGGCTGGCCAGTGGGCACCCCCAAACCAATTGTTCCCACAGTCTAACGTGCTTGTCACCGGCAGCTCCATACTTTTAGTTCCTCAGGCCAAAAACCTAGGTTCCCCGCCCCGCCCCGCCCCCCATGTTCCACGCCTCTGGGAGAAATCCTGTTGGCTCCATCTTCAGCCCGGAATCCAATCCTCCAGGAACCAGCGCCTCCCTCCTGGCTCAAGCCACCATCGTCTCTCACTGAAATTTAGAAAACTGCCTCCTACTGTCCTTCCGGCTCCTGCCCTTGTCCCAAACCCTGGTGGTCAGATGAACTATTTTGAAACAAGAGTCAGGTCGCGTTGGTCCTTTGCTCAAAGCCCACCGGCTCTGCACCATACCTCAGTAAAAGTCAATCCACACTGCAGTCCACAGGCCCTGCAGGACCTGCCTCCTACTCTGCTCTGGCCTCATGCCCTTCACCACTGGGCTCCAGCCACACTGCCAAGCACACCCCTGCACCTTCCACATGCCTGCCACAGGGCCTTTGCACTGCCTAGATGCTTTTCACCAGAATGCACAAGGCTCTCTCCCTCCCTTCTCTCAAGTCTTTGCACAAATGTAACATTAAAAAAGACCTCCCTGACCACCACATCAAAGTCCTGACTAACCTATCCCCACCCCAACCTCTGTTCTCCTTCCTTTATTTTTCTCCATAGTGCTCACCGCTACCTAACATAAGACATATTTTGCTTATGTGTCTATTAGCTGTCTTTCTCCTCTAGAATATAGGCCCTATGAGGACAGGGATTTTGCTCCATGAGAGCAAGGATTTGGACTCTTCTCTTCCTCACTGTAGCCCAGGACCTGACACACTCAAGAAATATCAGTTGTTCAATGAGTATTTGCAATGAACTCAATGCCAAACAAACCTGTTTACCCACAAATAGTGTCGGGTTTGCACGTGACCTCCCTTCCCTCATTCATACAGCCAGCATCAGCTGGGCCTCCACCTGACTGTGCACCCCAGGTGAGTCCACCAGGTAGGAATGTGAGGCCCTATTAGGCTCCTTTCTGAGTGGAGGTTGGAGGAGACAATCCTACACTCAAATCCCCCCTGCCCCTGGGTTGAGAAACTCCACCTGAGTTCAAGTGTCAATGATGTACCAGATGTTCCATCTCCAGGGAGCTGTGGCTATGACATCTGATGGCGGAAGCATTTACGGCGCTCAGCTCCTCTGCGCACACGCAGCTCATCCGAGCCTCAGGCTCCTTATTTTTCTGGGCAGCCACTCAGCTGACCTCGTTTCTTGTAAACACTGCTAATTGCTAGGCCTCTGGGGACAGGCCTGTTGTGCTGAGTGGCAGCGAGCCGTGATGCAGGGAGGGCCCTGCCTGGCACACCGATGGAGCCCCAGGAAACATCAAGCTCACAGTCTCCGCACGACCAGGACAGAATGCTGAGTGGTGGTCACTCACTGCAGGCGTCGTGGGCCATTCTGGGAGGTGATGACTCAGTGTTCCATTACCTAGGACAACCCGCTTTTTGAAAACTTGCGGGACTGCGAGTTAAGTACTCAATTACTGAGCCCTAATACAGTGTATTAACTACAGACGCCGCAGCCGCGCATTTAAAGCAGACCTGCCCAGACTCAAGGGGAGCCCCCGAAGTATCATGTGGCCCCAGAGGCCAAGAACCCTAGGACGCATGCTGCAGTGAGGGAAGGAGGAAGCGGCTCTGAGAGTGGGGATCAAACACAAAAGGACATTCAAATTATACCCCCACAATCAGAAAGGAGACGAATCCGCAAACACACAGCACATACAATTTCCAGGGCAGCAGTGAGCTGACTATGACCTGCCCCCCACCTTGTATAACTTATGGGTGAGGTTAGTTTTTTTCCTCTGAGGGTTAGTTTTTTTAAATGACTGTATTATATGGGAAGCCAGAATGTACTATATATAGTTATGCCTTTATTAATAAAATAACAAGATTGAAAAAGACATTTTAATGTTTCAAGTGAAAATCTGGTGGCTGTCTTCTTGGAGACTAAGCAACGCTGCCTTCCACTGCATTTTCCTCTACACAAAATAACACACCAGCCTCCAAGGAATGAGAGGAAAATCACCTGCAAATACTGTTTCCTCAAATGCTCGGCTCATAATGGGCTTTAAAAAAAGTCAAGCATGAAAGAAACCGTCGATTTTTTGGAGCCTCCATTGTTCAAAAATTCTCTGGGAATTTCTTATGAAAAGACACTTCAGGACCATAAAATTTCCATCTTTGCCCATTCCAAGTGCATTTTCTGTATAAAAGGGGCGCACTCCTCCAGACTTCTATTTTCTTTACCACCAAAGTCTTGCCTTGCTGACACCTTTTTACTAACTAATCCAAATGCCTGAAATGCAGTTTGGGCAAAAAATGACAGAAAAATAAACATTTCTTCTCCATTGACATGCTGAATAGACACTCATTCTTAGCAGATCACATGGGATGGAGAGGAAAAGGCGAGGCACCCCCCAAATAAACAACCCTTCAACTGACTCCAGCCTCTCTCAGCCTCCTCTCTCCTCATCTGTGTCATTCCCAACAATCGTGGTCACAGGAAGGAGCTCCCCGATCATAGTCACTTACTTTCACATGGCCACAACCTATCCCCCAAAGCTGGCCACTCACCGTCATGCTTATAGGTCATCTCCTGGCAGCCAGAAAAGTAGAGGCACACCAGGGCGCAGAGACAGAGGAAAAAGGAGAAGTACAGCACAAAGAGGATATACTCCATGGCGGGGAGGGGCTGCAGGACTCGCTAGCCGTGTGTGTCGAGGGAGCCGAAAGCCATATCATTGCCATCAATTTCTAGGTCTCTCTCAAGTCCTAGGAGGAAGCACCGATTCTTCCCCAGAGCATTCTCCTTCCCTCGACCACACAGCCCACTGTCTTCCTTCTCTGCTGCAGAGCTCTGAGAATGAAGATACTCCGGAAGATGCACCTTTATTAAAAGAGATGCCAGCTCTGGGGCAGATCTGTGGGCTGAGAGGAGCCGGTTTCCAGGGGCCGGGCCTGGGCGTGTCAGTCACAGAGGACGGCCTCCAGGCTGGCTTATTCTCTGGGGGCTTTCCTCGCAGACCCCAGGTTCCCTGAGCCGCCCTGCTGTCGGGGCCATTCCATGGGCCCGGGTCCCTGGATGATCACAAGGGCCCCCGGGAACAGCGCTAGCAACCATGAAGCTGAGAGAGGCTTCTTCACGACCACAGCCCAAAACGGGGAGGCTTGGGAAATTTCTCTATTGATCCCCATCCACCCTGTACACGCCCCGGACTAGTTAAACTCATGGGTTCTCAGCAATTCTTCTGTAAGTATTTGTTTTTATCAATTATACGAACCGAAAGAAACCATCATCCAACAGAAAAACTGCAACTAGAGAGGTCTTCAGTTTCCCACCCGTGTGGCACCTACGAGGGCCTTGCGTTTCTTGCAGAAGCTTCTCTAAGCATAAGATCAAAAGAAAAAAACTCTCCTAATGGAGGGTTTAAAA